TTGTGTCAGCAACAAGCAATCGTGCATGGAAGAAAGCAGATTCAAAAATGGACGCCATTGAGGGCAAAACTCCAGGATATAGCCCGCTATTGTGAATTCTAATGAGAAACACATCCTCGATGAGTGACCCCTGAGATACAACGTAGTGATTAACCCAATCTCTTTATTTAGTGCAAGTGTCTGAACCTTTTCTTCTGAATTCGTTGCACGTCATTCTTCACCGCTTGTAGAAAATTTTCCAGCCTGTAAACTTTAGTGGAACTAATCATTAACTAATTTTATGTACTTTCATGCTCTGTTATTAGCATCGACTGTGTGCTAGATGATTGGCAAGAAAACATTTTTAACTTATTCTCTTGCTTTGATACATTATTTCGTGCTTTTCAATGATTGGGTTCAGATGGTAAACTTTATAATCAAGAAGAGTTTCAACAGTGCATGCTGATTAAGAAAATGCAGCATTAGAGGACAAATTAGAGCCTGGATTTGGACCCTTTTTTTTTTGCCTTTTTCTTTAATTTCCGTTACTAAAAATATTCTATTAGAGGTTCGTCGATTACTTAAAAAGATGCAGAGTATTGGCTGGATCTGGCGATTGTCCAGTGCTCTTTTTGAATACCTGCTAAGTGGTTTCTTGATCTCAAGTTCTCAACTGGTGGGTATTTTAATATACCCTTTTTCTTGAACAGAAAAGATAGCCTGACGTAGCTAAGGCATCAGCTTGACATCTTTGTAAGAATCAGATTTTTGTGACAAGTCCTTTCTTCAATTAATACGTTTTGCAAATCTGGCTGCAAGGTCCACAATTTTCTTCATTGCAAATTCAAAGAATTGTCAAGGCGTAGTTTTGCAATATGCGGAGGAAAAGGAGGTAAATACTGCCATTAATCAAAATGCTAAGGGCTGATCAAGAAAAAGCAGAAATGCATACATCAGCATGATGAAACACGATGACGCAAGAAAACTAAAGGTTGACTTCAGGCAGAAGGCAGTTTCATGCAACTCTTATTCGACTGGCCTGGAAGCTCCATCTGGATGATTATGTGTCTGTCAACAAAATATACTGTATTGGACAGTTTGTTTAAATCAACCTGTAATTGCCCTTTACATTGCCACTTGTTAAGAGTATATTAAAACAGTTTTGAGTAGAGAGCCAACTCCTTTTCTAAGACCAAGTTTCCAGCAGCTACATGTGTAAAAGCTAGTAGAAGCATGCCCTTCTCGTGTTAAGCTCACAATCTTCATTCGAGTTTCCGGCCTGAAAATGGCATCATTTGTGCAAGAGTTTGTCCTTACTAGCTCCCCTGATGGTCGAATCACTGCTTATGATGCTTACTCAGGTTCTAGCCTGGGTCAGTACAATGGCAGTCGAACGCCTCGTAAAGGGCTAACCATGATCGGTAAGAAGCTGATTGCTGCTTCTCATGTTTGTTCAGACACTGGCCTTGGCTCAGTTCACCTCTATCACTGGTGGTACTCCGCTCCCTTCCATCAACTCCCCATGCCTGAACCTGTTGCACCCCTTGTTGCTACTCGAGACGGATCGTATCTCTTTGCTGGTGGTGTATCTGGTCATGTACACTCCATCTCACTCCCTTCAGGAGATATAATTCTGTCTGTTGCTGCCCACTCCAAAGCCATAACCTGCCTGGAAATCAACGACGATGGATCACTTCTTTTCTCAGGCAGTGATGACGGAACCATTGCAGTGTTCCCTATACATCGGCTTGTGGATTCATTTTCTTCCAGAAGTTCAAGCTATTCGGCACCACTGCAAAGATTCGTTGGCCATCAATCTTCAGTAACGACCATCACAACAGGCACCGGTGGATGCAATTGCACCATAATTTCGTGCTCGTCAGATTGCACGTGCAAGTTCTGGGGCCTCATGCACACATCACCTCTCCGTTCAATTACATTTCCATGTACAATATGGGAGGTGAAAGTAGACCCCCTGGAGTCAGAGTTCTATGTTGCAGGGTCAGATGGATTGGTGTACAAATGTGCACTTAAGGTGAGATCCAGAATGATGATGAAACAAGGACCTCAATTGATCACTTGGAAGAGGCAGCATGATGATGCAATCACATCCATGGCCACAATGAACTGGGGAAAGAATCTTGTTACAGCATCAGAAGATGGAAAACTTTGCTTTTGGGACGTGGGACGAGGAGATTTGATCAAAGTTGTTGATCAAGAGAAAACGGGAAGCATCAGTAATGTGATGGCAGTAGCCGCAGGAGTAAATGGTCATGTCAGTGCAGCTTTGGCTAGGATGAGAAAAAGTGTCGCTGGTTTTGGTAGATGGGATTTGGGCTTCTCTGGTAAGAAGGACCTGTATGTTCCAATCACGGAGATGAAGGAAATGGAAGAGCATTTGGCAGTTTCAGTAGTGGACAGGAAAAGATCCATTGATACGCTAGAATTGGCCCTTGGAGCTTATGAGAGAGTGTTGAAGCTCATGCACAAGGAAGTAAAAGGAAGTGCAAGCAGCAGTAACAGTGTTGATCAAGACAAAACCGAAGGCAACTAAAATCAAAAACAAGATTTGGATTAAGTGCAGAAAAACAAGAGTTAATCATAGTATATTAGTGTGGAATCTTGTATTCAAATACATAAGTCCTAGCAGAAATTGGAAGCCAATCTCTTTTTTCGGCTAGACAAGATCCGCATTTAAGCTTGCTAATTTTGATGACGGAAAAAATAGCTTTTATTTCCGGTATAGTAGCTGTGTGATCTCTGTATTACACCTCCATTTTATCAAGTAATTTTGTTGGATGATTATTATTCTCTAAACCTCAAAAATGAAAATTTTGAGGGGGCCATATGCATGTTGCTTTGAGCTTGGGAGGAAGGAAAGGAATAGAAAGAAAAAGTTTTGAAAAGATATGAAACTTTTTCCATTATTTGACAGTAAAAATGAAAAAGAAAAGAAAAGATCTGACTTTCCTTAATCTCTTTGAAAACTTTTTCCCCAAAGTTGGGTGAAAAAGAAAGGAAGACACGTAAGCCTTAAGTGAATTTTTTTCGAATATAACAAATATTATCCTTAAAATCGTGATACAAAAAAAAATTTTAATCTCCTCCGATGAATCCCACCATTACAAACGGCCAAATCTCCATTAGGTTACTTAATTCACATTTGTTTATAAGAAGGGCGTATTTGTAAATTAACTTATTTGAGTATATATTTTTTCCATTTTTCTTCAATTCCCAGAAAAAAAAGAAGAAATTATTTACTTTCTTTTCTTTTTTAAAACTCCCAACCAACTTACAAAAAAAATTGGATTCTTTTCCTTTCTGACTTATTCTTTCTCTTTTTTTTTTTTTTTTTCTTTTCCATTCTAAACTCCCGAAGTAGCTATTATTAGAAGGACAGCAGAAGCTCTCACCGTGCAGTTTTTTCCTCACGGGGGAGAGACTAGAGAGGTGCCCCCTGCATTACTAATTTCACTGGCCGGAGACCATATATTTGGCTTAAGACGAGCTGCCACCACAGCCTTTTGCTGTTAAACTTAGAAGCCACAAATAAAGAAGATGATGATGTATAATTACAGAACAGGTACTCTTTTGCTGCTCCTTTCGAGAAAACAAGAGGATAAGAGTAGATAATCCCCTGATGTTTCACTGAAAATTTCATCTCCGCGATACCAACTTGCAGAGAATTATGTTCATCATCCATTTTTCAGGACCGCTAGTACTCCACGGAGGAAACCCAAACTAAATATTATTCATTCACCGTTACAGATCCTTCAAATGTGACATAAATTCAAACATGGGGAACTCATCCAGCAGACAAGTGTCAGCTTCTGACATAATCTTTTTTCCTCACATAATCTTTTTATTCCCAAAAAAAATGTGTCCTTGGACAGAGATTATTTGAAATAATGCTCTGAGAAAAAAATTAATTGAGAACATAAAAATATGTTTAAAAAACTTGTTTATGATGTCAGTAAAAAAAATTTTGCAAATAATACTCCATTTTTTTAAATGATATTTTGCTTGCATTATAAATGTATTTTTCAACCCATTTTTTTGTATTCGCAATCACCTTTTTATCTCACATACATCATATCATAAAAAATGGTATATTAATTATTTCAAATAACACTCTATCCTAACAGACCCAATATGTTTTCATATCAAATATAATGCTCGTAAGTTACCCATACAATTCTAAAGTAATCAGTAAATAAATGAATATTTTAAAAGTTCTTATTCCACATTAAAAAATCAAACGGACTTTTCATCACTTTATAATGCTTAATTTTTTTTATTGAATTTGTGTTAGATTGGTAACTAATATGTATTCACGTGCATGTATGAGAGAAAAGTTAATTGAGCCGTTTTAATACAAACTGATGGATCTGCACCCTTTCTGCAAATGAGTTAAATACGGCCAGAGATAATTTTCCCACAAGCAAGAAGTAAAATTTATTATTACTATTTTTTTACGTTTTACATATCCTCTTCAACGTACACTTGCTAAACCCTATAAACAGCAGCTACTCCCATTTTAAAGAGCACACTCAAATTTTTCTAGGTACACTTTCTGAACCTTATAAATGGCAACTACTCCCACTTTAAAATGGACACTCAAATTTTTCTTTTACATTTTACATATCATTTCCAACGCACACTTTTTAAAACCTATAAATAGCAGTTACTTTCACTTTAGAAAGCACACTCAGAGCTGACAATAGAAACTTTCCTGACAGCTTTCTTCTTCTTCTTCTTCTTCTTCCACTATCTGTTGAATTTACGTAACATTTACTAGTTCTGATTTTTCTTATTTATAATAAGAAGAAGACTTATTTAATCCTCGAAAACCATTTCAAGAAAAATGCTTGATTAATTCTAGAAAAACATTTCTACCTCTTGAAAAAATTTCTTAGAACCGTACTATTAAGCACCATTCAAACCTCATTTTATTAGTTTTAATTAACATTGTTTTTGGCTATTTTTCCTACACAATGGTCATGAAATTCAAGTAAACATCCTTGTCAATATCCAACGCAGATCTCATTTCACTCGGAGACATTAAAGATACAGCATTTTCATGTATTAATTTGACAATCCTACATCACCCAAATGGAACAATAACACAATATATTTACAATAAGGTAGGAATGACACCAAAAGCAAATACAAATTACTATAACTGCTCTAAATCTAAGGAAACGAAGCTACTTTCAAACACAACACCACACCAACTTATGAGAGAATTTTGATCCTTTATGACCTAAAGCAAGGAAAATTCAGAGGACGCCTACATCAGAAATGCTTTCGCCTTTTGAAGGTTGAACCATGTGACTGATGATTGTACAAGTTCTGCATAGGAGAGCCAGATATATCAGGCACAAAGACCGCAGTGTCAGGTGGATTCTGATAAGCCTTCTGCCAATAGAGTCCAGAGGCAGTAGGTGGGGATGGAATTTCTGGCACTGCCCAGGAAGCTTCTGGTACCTGACCTAAACAATCATCACCATCTAATTCTTCATCAGCAGCCCTTAAAATTGAGGAGCAATCTGAGCCTCCAAGCTTCCCACTATCGGCCTGGGAGAATTCACCGAAAGAACAGGGGCAATTAGGGCCTGCATCGGCTATTATTCCCTACAGACCTCTACAGGGTCACAGTAAGTTGAGAATGTTGCCTATGAAGGTTACAATTGGGATTTGAGAGGAGAAAAGAGCAGTTCCAAAGGTGCATCAAAAATGAAATACAAACAACAAACAAGGCCTATAAATATATCCATTGGAATAAAAGTTCAATTCCTCCAGACAATTAATGTACTGAAAGGGTTCCAAATCCTCTCCTAGTGTGTCCTAATTCTCTTGTTGGGTCAGTCAACAGAATAGCCAAATCAGCCATTCCCAAACCTTTCTGCCCCTTAAACACCTGAAATTGCAGCCTACTAGGAACTGACAAAAAATTCAAGAAACCAAAATGAACTAGCAAGTAAACAAACACAGGGCTGAAGGGTACATATTAAAAAGTACGATTATATATCATTAACCTTAAAAGAACGGTTATATATCATGAACTGCAAGTTCCAGAAAGATGAGGGAAATGGGCTTTTTTTTTCTTTTTTCTTTTTTTTTGGGGTATGAGGGAGGACCACCACGAAATACTGGTCACTTGTTGAAAGACATGCAAAGGGTTAATTTCTGTGCCTCTCCAACCCCTCCAGGCTCCAACCTTTTCCCTCTTTCATTAACTTTCTGCGTCTTTCTTTTCCCTGGTCGATGTCTTTCCAAGTTGAAGGAAAAAGATTGCATGTTCATGTGATTGTTTACTCAAAAGTCCATAAGGGCACAAGCAGTAAGATATAAGCTCTAGTTTCTTCCAAGCACCATGAAACTTAATGCACCTGAAAACTTAAGTAAATCAATTGCACCTCTAGATTAGCAATTAAACCAACATTGAGCCTAGACCTCTACCTGAGTGATAAACCCATCCAACCACATTTGCTAATCCTAGGATTCTGAGCACCATTTTGGACAATCCGTATATCCTCTGAATCGTGCCCAGGCCTTGCGTTTCATGCAAACATTTCAAAACCGGGTGCAATACTTATTTTGCTCCCTACTAGATTCTTGAGTGATGTAAATATCAAGCAATGCCATGTAACATCTGCTGTACACAGGAAGACTGGAGTTTGTTCCACTCCAAGAGAATGCAACACATGTCCAGTTCTCCATGCAGTAACTTCACCTTTGACTGAAAGCAAGTTCATACACAAGCAACAACAGACATATGCAAAGTGCAAATAAACAATTACTCTGTGTGTAATATACATACTCTGTAAGAAACTAATTATCCATTATCCCTATGGAGAATTGTATGATCAAGAAATCAAATGAACGTTGCCAGTGGCCATAGAAATAGCCTATCACCTATGTTGATCAAAGAAATGCCACAAGATTCATTATGACCTGAATCATACCTTAGATGAACCATTATCAATATAATTGTAACTCTGATTGAAGTCATTTAACCCAAGATACTCATCAAACTGCCACTGTGGAATACTTCCAGCTGCAGAACCTCCAGTTAAACGAGTCTTTGTTGGGACAAAATCCCCAACCCCATTGACCTGGGTGGGTAACACCTTATTATACTGACTACTGGAGGAAACAGGAGCAGGCCTCCTCGAAGGGCGGAGTTCAGTTTCTGATATTTTCTCACCAGAGTGAGAATTCCCTGTCAATGATGATGACCCAGGTTCAGCAGGTTCAAGCCCTACTTTTACTCCAGTAAGGAGGAACCTCTGGTGAGTGGAAACATAGGTATTGGCTGTATGGATGGCAACATCACATTTCCTGCAGAGCAAAGCTCGATCCTCTAGACAAAAGAAGTATCCAACTGTCTCCTGCAGAATAAAGAAATTCTTCATTAACATTCAGTTTTTAAGTTCATTTAGAGGATTAATTTTCATCAGGAATCTTAGCAGTTAAGAAAGTAATAGAGACATACAAATACTCTGATTGTTTTGATGAAAAATGTAGATACTGAGAAATCAAATAATGAAACTTAACCAATCTACTACTTCCTAGTAAAACTAAATCATTGATTCAATACTCGACCATGAAAGCTTACACCTATATATATTATTAATTCTGATGCTTAACGGTGGGCCAAAAGCAAGGTCTTGATGAAACAGACACATTGATACAATAAAATAACATGGCAGACCTCAGTGTAAAGCTCAGTATAAACAAGCGAAGCAATTCGCACATCAAAGCCTTGCACATAATTTCCACAACATATCAAAACTGTTGCATTAGATAAGGAAAGAGATTCGTCACGCATAACACTCGGCAAGAAAAAAATATACAACCTTTACCCAATTAAATAAACCATTATAGGTGTACCAGGTCTATCGCTGTCCTCTTAATATTTCAATACCACATAAAAAAAAATAGAGCATCTATTTCCCATATCGTTCCTAATTTAGGTACAGTAAAAGTTAGGGACCAGAGGCAGCTTACACCTATTTATAGTTCAGCAACTACCAACCCCCGAAAGCCATTAAGAGAATATATAAAACCAATCTAACCACTCAATGGATTAGCTAAAGGACACAGCATGCAATCCAACCATTAACCCAAAAAAATCGTACCATACGCTTGATAACAACCACAAGCTAAGTACAATAAGGTTGAAAAATCATCACTTTCTCAACCAATCATGAATTAACAGGTCATACCTCACCTCTATATAATAACCATAGAGAAGACCAATGGAGAATAAAAAAGAAAAACTTTTGCAGTAAAATAATCTTATTCATCAGATATTTCAACCACTAATCAAATTAAATACAAATTTCAGCATCCCATTGTATCCCATCACATCAAGAAGCATATTAACAACTAAACATCAGAACTTTTTTATAAAAATAAAATATTAAAGCAGGAAAATGTCCAATAACCATATCATAATTTTTTTTTTGTTTTAAAATAGAACTTTACCAATCAAATAAATTTATCCATTCGGGATAGTTTCAACTACTGATCAAATTAAATGCTAATTTCGACATTCCAGTTGCATCCCTTCATACCCAAAAACGAAATTAACAACTAAAAGCCACAATCCTCATCAAATTCAGCTGAATTAAACAGACCAAAAAAAAAAAGACCCACAACAAGAAGAAAGAAATCAAACCTGGCAGATATCACACTTGGGCATCTGAGAAGAAGAGGTAGAAAGAGGAACCCTTTGATGCTTACTAGCAAGCTTATTAGCAGCATGAACTTTTTCATCACAAGCCCAGCAAAGCGCCGCCTCATCAGCACAGCACAGTACACTTGCTTCAGCTACCTCACATACGTTGCACTGAATCTTCATCCTACCTATCCTAAATCTCTCCGCCTCAAAAACCCACTTGGAAATTCAATTCAATCTTTTATTTTCCCTTCCCTTTTTTATTTTTATTTATTTATTTATTTATTATTATTATTATTGGGTTGAAATGAGCGAACGAGGGCAGTGGGTGGAAATGAGAGACTGCGAAGGAGAAAGTGGGCAGAGGGGTTTAAGGAAAGAAGAAAAGTAGTTGTCTCTGTGATATTTTTGTGGGGATTTTTGGGAAGGGTAAGGCGGTTGCTTTGCATGCGTGTCGGGTCTTTAATAAATTATGAATGCGTGGAGCGAGTACGGATCTGACCCGCTGAGCTGGCACGGGTTATTAGAGTGAGTTGGGATCTTTTTTCAAGACTGGCACGCGCCTTGCTGGAACTGGAAGCAAGCAGAGGACCCCATAAATGTAGCAGCAATTGCTATTCATTTGAAGGACCAAAATCAAAAGATCTTCTTTGCTTTGTCCATCTAAATATCTTTTGGGTACTTTTACTCCGTCAAGACTCAAGATTCGAGTTCCCGTCCACTAGCTAAAATTATACTAACAATTTGTATAGTTTTTTTTTTTTTTTTTCCGTAGCAGGGAATGGATGGGACATACGAAACGGGAAGACGGCGGGGGAATTTAAATGTAGAATCTACGGAATTTCTAATTCTTGAAATTTTAATCTCGATTACTAAATCACTGTTTCATCCGCGAGTTTTGTATAATTGTTTGATTGATTTAAAAATAAATTTTGTTCCGACACTTATTGAACACATATAAACCACACTCTCACATATTATTGTCTTCTTATATTTACATATTTTTCTCGAATTAGTTTCACTCTTACTAACGAACGAATCGACACTTGAAACTATCTAAATCATTGCTACAGTGCCTTCAAAAATTACTCAATTATAGCTTCTGCGGCAATACCTCCATCTCTTAAAACTTTGTAGTGTTTAATCAGTAGAATGTAAAGAGAATATTCAATTATTTTTGGTAAGGAAAAAAATCAGAAGTATATGAATACTGAAAAGGGCCCTGTCAAAAATAAAAGGCTGATCTAGACAGTGTGTTAATGCATAAATCGAAAAAATACACTTCATGCTAAGTCGTACAGGAAGAGGACCAAGAAACTTTACTGATTTTACCTGGATATTAAATTTTTACCGCTCAAAATCTATTTTAGTACCATGCAGTTAGTATTAGGGCATGCCGATTGCCGACGACGTGATTATGCTTTGGTCCCAATAGTCCTTTTCATGAGATACTGGGGGTGGGGGGGGGGGGTGAAAAGCGTGCAGTTTGTGCTGAGAATATCTTCTCCGCCTAAAGCTTGGTGCTATCTTGAATTCTTGAACCCTACTTGCTATTATGGAGAAATTTTCTCAGCCACAACAACTAAAATACGAGATGAATGAAAGAAGCAAAAGACGAAGAGGAATGAGGAAATATGCTATTTGGCCAACATGATGGAGGCTCTGGATCCTTGTCACACTCACGCATTTGGTTGTTATACCTTTTTTACACTGTCCGATTAATTGTTCGATTAGTGTATTAAAAAAAAAGTAATATTAAATGCATCCTTTTGTTGAGTTAGTGTAAATCAATGTTCGATGTGACTTGTATATCATTTTCGATAAAAAAAAATGAGAGTATAAATTACATTAAATATTAATTTATGTCAATTCAGTAGAAAAATACATTAAATTGTGCAAATTTTACACCGATTTAAAGGAGTGTAACACATTGGTTACGGAGAATAGAGTGTATGGGGTGCAAATTCAAAAGGGATAATTTCAGATACCTCCCATGAGGTTTCTGACAGTCTCACTTTTTTCTTTTGTGGTTTCAAAAATATCACAAATTTCCCCAATCAGAATTTAGTTCACATTTCTTACATCATCATGGTCAAAAAGACTTAAATACCCTCACAAGTCAGCTAATATTTCGTGATTATCAGGAAAAATATATTCCAACTCAAGTAATTACTTTTTTTTACGCTATATCTAATATCCCTTTTACATGTATATATAGTCAAATAACTAATACCTAACATGATGTACATTTTTTTAACACCTACCCATTCAAAATTTATGTGTACCATTACACTACCTTTTATAGATATATACGGTCAAGTAACTAACATCTAACATAATGTATATATTTGTAAACTGATTGTACCTCATAGATCACCCCCGTGTAAGGTGTTTATAGGCAAATTAGTATTAGTCATATAGATAAAATAACATACCCACTGCAGTTTGTAAGGAGATGCACAAGTTGATCAAAGCACCAATAAACCATTTCAGATGTATACATACCATTGCACTATGCATATTGCTGCGATGACTAATTGCAATATGCATGTGAACAAATAATTGCATGTTCAATAATTTCTATGCATCGTACTTGGTCGATAACACGGTGTATATTATTACAACCAGATTGTACATTCATTAAGTATTTATACACATGCTACTTATTGAAGTAAATTGCATCTCTACTAAATATTTAATGCACTCTCATAAGCACTAATGGTTAATTTAATATGCAATTGGAACAAATAACCATCTAATAAAAGCTTTTGATATAATATTATTGATGAATAACATATTATATCTGAAATTATCCCCGGTTTCTAATTTATTTTTGGCTTTTATTAGTTTTCATTATTTCACTAATATAGCTTGTACACCTACCTCAGGGCATTTATGAAAATAAAATTCCCTCTCATTCCTGAAAACACTTTTTATGTTCACTTTTGACATAATGGGATGATTTTGTTACAAAATTCTAAATCTTAGGAAAGATTTGTGATATTTTTGAAATCACGAGGGAGAAGAGTGAGACTGTCAGAAACCTCAAAGGAGGTTTCTGAAATTATCCCAATTCAAAATACAAAAATATAAAAAGACTCGTACACGAGTAGATTCGATTTTCAAAAATTCAACTAATCAAATTGTATTATACCATTTACCGAGTAATATGGCACAATATGGATCATTGCGTATTTGAAAATGAATCTACCCCAAGTTTTAGCCAATATAAAAAACTCGTACAAAAGCAATGGAGCAACTTTCAAGGGTCCCATTACATTGATGAATGAAGGTGGTCGGGGGAACATGGTAGAGTTTCATATTCCACGAGGTGGTATTCTAGAAAGTTAATTAGACAACGCGAAATGGTGGAGTTATGTACCTATGCCGTTGCGACCGATTGGACTGAAAATGACTACAATGCTTGCCGGAAAATGACTTCTGTTAATTATACCTTTTTTTTTTTTCAAGAAAACAACACTATTGTTCAATGTAGTAGAGGTAAATTAATTTGGCTCAAAATTAAGCATGATAAAATGTAATTTATAGGATGAGAAATGTAATTAAGCATGATACAATAATCTGATATTTTTGCTCCTGAAAAATGATTATGATGTAGGTCATGTGATAGATTTAGCGTAAAAAGTGATGAAAATTTAGGTTAGAATCAAATTTTACGGACTCAAATTTGTAAGAAACATAATTTTATCTTTTTAAAAGTAAATGACGAAAAATTCATGTGACGAAATTTTGTATGCACCGTCAACCATGAAATCACCCACAAAATGAACTTATTAATTTATAAAGAGGGGCCAACTTAAGTTCAAAAGAGACATTAAAAAAATTTTAGAGGGGACAACATTATTTTGTTAATGAGGCCCTATTTTTTTAAAACTTTTTGAATATTTTGCCTGGACAAAAAATAGCACCATATTTGTTTGGATAAGAGTTTATTTGGATGATTTATTTGAGATAATTACTGCAACACTTTTTGTGATGTGATATATGTGAGATAAAAGAATGATTGAAAAGATAAAAAAATAATTGAAATTTGTGAAGTAAATTATTTTATTTCAAATCTTCTCAATCCAAACACACCAACATACTATCTTGTATCACATAATCACAAACTGAAAACGAGTGCCCTTGCAAAATGAGGGAGCATCATAAATATTTTTTTTGTACATAATTTGCAAAGCGTTACTCTTTTTTTCCAAAAAAAAAAAAAAAAAAATTTGTTGGTTTGGGTTAAAATTAGCGCTATTAAGGTCTGAAGTCTGAACAGCCAAAGATGCGGAGTCGAGCCTATTAATTAATTATTAAGAGGCCTATTTAAAGTATAAACTCCCGCCATTTTAACATTTACTTGAACCCAAACGTAGCCAAAGGGATAGAGAAAGAGAGAAGTTCCGATTCCGTTCAAAAGCAATTCCAGCTTGGATTCAATTGCTAATTCCGTAATTCACCTGCATTGTCAGAAATTTGCGATGAGAATGATTTGATTTAATTTTCAGATACATTTCGATCAGAAAGCCATTCGTAAGTTCTATTGCGAAGCTGTCAGTTTCACTCTCTCTCTCTCTCTCTCTCTCTCTCTCTCTCCCTATTGAAATTAGGAATTTTGCGAAGAAGCGAGCGACGGAGTTAGTTCGTAAGAAGAACTTTCTTCTATCATCTGGTAAATAAAATCTCTATCCTCTTGCTTGCAATTTCTGCTTTTGCATTTTGTTGAGAAATTTCGCATGATTTTAATTTCCCTTATTTGCTCCGCTGCTTGATTTAGTAGATTGAAAGTCTTGAACTTGATTAAAGTTACATTCAGCTTGTTTGGCTAGGTGATTAAGAGAGTAAACTGCAAGGAACAAAGTTCAATCTCAAGTTTTCCCCAATTATTGTAGATGATGTTTCTGTTGGAGGAATTTGACTTTTCACAGTTAATTCTACATCTTACTATGATGCCTATTGCAATTTCAGTGCCATGCTGTCGCATCTGTATTTGCAGCGTTGAATTTGCAGGATTAACTCCGAATTGTCTTTTTGATATCATGAATATAGTGTGTTCTTGTCATTTAATTTGAAATTTGAGATGTTGCCGAATGATCGTTTCTTGTTAATTATTACAGTTTCTTTACTAGAAAATTTTTCCTTTTCTTGTTTTTCTTTTTTCCTTGGTCTTTTTACCAACTTAATATTGGAATCTTGCTTCTTTTTTAGGTTGAATAGAGCAGGTTCAAGCTTTGTTTAATTGCTTCTATCTGCAACTCTTTTTTTTCTTTTGGAGCAAATAGTTATGAACTGCAAGTTAACTGAGGTACATGTGTTCAAGTGTCGATGCATTTTGGTTAATTGTTAGATTGCATTGAAGTTACCATTTCCAAGTTTTGATTTCCTAGTTTATTATTGGTCCTACTAAATGATTTGGCTGTTAACATTGTTAGATCAGTAGCCTAACTAGGAAAATGAGGAACATCAAAACATATACTTCTCTTATTGTTTAGATATGTATTTCTACATTCTTTTAACAGTTTTAACCTCCACCTCCCTGAATGCAAAATATGGAAAAAAAAGAGATCATTCTGCATCTTAAGACAAAAGCCGTCTTACATCTGGATCATGCTATCAGCTTAGCACTGTAGCTTGTGATTCCAAATATCACATCTTAAAAATGAGTTTCGACCCAAGCTTTTATTGTTTCTGGAGGAAATTGATTAATTGATTTGTTGCTTGAGTTCTCTAAGTTGTCTTCTTTGAAACTAATGGATCACAGCATAGTAGAGACACAAATCTATGAGAGAAGCATGTTGAAACTTGGTTATATTGATCAGGTCTTTTCCCTATTGTACCTATCTATTTGGTCACCTCTATCTAAACATTGAAATGAGATGCAATGCATGCTGGCGAGAATTGGAAGGACAGGCAGTTTCCACCACTTGTGGCCACCTTCTTTGTATCCCAATGCAATAGATAGTGCAGATCCTTTTGCAGTTAATGTAATTTCCCCCCCCCCCCCTTAAATTTAGAATCAGTAATAGTTGGGCAAGGTACTCCTTAACAACATTAACAGGTCCCGAGGATGCCAGTAAGATTCTCAGCAACGATGCTGCTTGCCCTATCTGTGATCAGGTGCTCTCTAAAAGGTAAGTAGCTGCTGATGGTGAACATAATAGCTTTTTGTTAGATAACCTGCTTGGACATTGATAATGCATGTCTCATGTTTCATGGATTATGAAACTAGCAACACCATACTACAATAACACAAAAATCACTCTGTTCTTCTCTTTTGGCCTTGGACTACTTTGCACAGTTTCGAGGTGGACCCTATACTAAAGCTAGTTATATGACTAATATCATTAATTCTGGCATTAGCTAATAGCTATGACATTCCACTGATTCTGTTGTACCTATAATGAATTATGATTTTCCAGCCTCATGAAATCGGTGGATATCAATCCAAGTGATGAATGGACAAATGTAAGAATTCCCCTCCTCGAACTTTCTGTGCTTTCCATAAGCTATCTTTATTTATTAATTTATTTTTGTGGCTTGGCTTTCTTTCGTTGCTAAGACTTGTCATTGCTGATGTTTAAGTATCAAAACTTGGTGAATTTTCATTTTTTTTGCAGATGGTCATGGCTGGGATATCACCACAAATATGTATCCTGAATAACTCTTTCAGAATTTTCTGACGTTCATTATTCAGAATTGGCTTGTTATAAGCGAAAACAGGGTAGAATTCTTGGAATATTAAAGAGTAATACTTCAATTTGGCTAGTCATCTGGTGGAATAGGGCAGAAGTTTCTAGAGAACTGAAAGATATGCCTTTTGAACCTTATTATGGTTGCCAAATTGTCCAAAGCTGTAGATTTTTGCTCTTGCAGGCTAGTTAAATGGATCACTTGAACTTTTGAGCTGTGTAACATGCAAAAGAAGCACTTAGATTTGTCAAGGCACATGCTTAGTTTCAAACTTTTTGTATGAGAAACAATTTTATCGGATCTTCTGTTTGATTTTCCTAAAAGAACACAGTGATGAAGAGTGCATACAGAAGTGTGATGTTCTACATCGGGCAAAAGGAGTTGGAGATGCAATTTAAAATGAATAGAATAGTAGCTCAGTGCCGGCAGAAATGTGAGGTGATGCAAGAAAAGTTCACTGAAAAACTGGAGCAAGTACATACAGCATACCAGAAAATGGCTAAGAGGTGCCAGATGATGGAGCAAGAGATTGAGAGCTTATCTAAGGATAAGCAAGAGCTCCAGGAAAAATTTGCAGAAAAGTCTAGGTCAGTCTGAACGTCATCCTACTGTGACTCGTTGATGTGGATTTTACACCACTGACCAGTATTATTATCAAACTATTCCAGACAGAAAAGAAAGCTGGATGAGATGTATGACCAATTGAGAAGTGAGTATGAGTCAACGAAACGATCCGCTATTCAACCTGCACCCAACTTCTATCCAAGGGCAGAGCATGATTTGTTCTCAAATCCTGCCAATGTGATGGATAACAGAGACCCTATCAGAAAAGGTAAACCTGTTCTTTTTATCGCAATCAAGACTTGATGAGATGGATTTTTGGCATTCTGTTCACTGAGTATATTTAAGCACATATTGCGCAATATACTATTCCTTCTTCAATTGTCCTGGTTGTATTCAGCCAAGAAATACTAGTAACTTATTTGTGGCAGATTGGTCGGTTCTCACTCCTGAAACTCCAGGACCAAGAGAGGATATATGGCCACCTGCAAGGCAGAACAGTTCAAACTCTGGCCCCTTTGACATCTCAAGTGGTTCACCTGCGCGACAATCTGGAATCCCTGTTGATGCTGGTAACAAAAGGGCTGGTGTTCGTCCTGTTTTTGGTGCTGGTGGAGGAGCTGGTGCTAGCAACCCGTCAATGACTTTGAGGAATCTCATCCTTTCACCAATAAAGAGGCCTCAGCTCTCTCGAAACCGCCCTCAATTGTTCACGTAAGCAAAAATCCTATAATATTATGCTTAAAGTGTTCTTGATTCAATACTGAATTTACAAGAACTTTTCCTTTTTCAGGTTGTAGATTGGTGGCCTTCTTGTTGTTGACTCTTTGATTGACAATTTCAAGAGAAAAGGGAAAAGTAGGGCTCATATTGCAGATGAGATTTTTTTATTATCTTTGACACGAAGGAAATTGCACAGAGTATACTTGTTGATAAAGCAACTGCTCCAACTAGAGGGGAAATAACAAATAAGCTGCTCTATCAGCTAAATGATCATTGTAAATTTGTAATACAAACCATGGACAGGTCATAATGGAGTTCTAGACTACAACTTTGTGCTTCAGATGTGTTATGTATGTCTACTAGTCTACCTGTATCTCATTGCAATTCTTTGCCTTGAAAGTCCGTTAAGACGGAAATTCCGCTACTTGGATAGAAGGTGATAAGAGTATTATAGGTAAGCTACCATAAATCTTTACAGCAAGAACGTGGGCATTGGTTATAGATGTCTTTGCGCTCCATATCATATTCTAATGCATTTATTGCCGTGGAGAATAGCTGACATGTTTTAATGATGAGAACTACTTACAACTGAAAGGAGAAGGCCAAGGAACCAGTCTTCGAGCCACAACAAATATAGTGTACAATATGACATTAAAAGAAAATGAACTTCTCATTACCTAATCAAAAAAATTTATTTGTAACCATTGCAATTTACAGATGCATGAAATGTACACAAATGTCTATTTCTTTTGTACAAATATACCCAGAAAATTCATGGATAATTTATGATAGGAAGTGCGAAGGCAAAAAGACATTTAGTGATGGAGCCTTGGGAGATAGTTCAATCATGTCCCCAAATTGAATAGAAAACACAACGTGGGAACCATCGATGTAGATTAGCCCTTCTTCAGAAAACCATTTGATTTCCATAGATTCATTGGACTTTACAACTCCATGCACACTGGAGTTGGCTCCAGGAGATATTGGCTCTCTCACCAAGTATTGGAGATCCCTAGACAAAATGGGCATTGGAAATCCACCAGCAGAAAGCATTGCAGCTGTTGATCCAGCAGCTGTTGATACTCTCAGACCACTTGATCGGCTGTTCAGCAATGGAGAACATTGATCCCCTTCTCTCCAGATTCTGTCAACAGAGAACAATATAATTATGCGACTGAAACCAGCATAGAAATATAGCCATATTTGTTTTATTTGCAATCTCAGCTTGAAGCTCATACTCTGACAGAGGCGAGTTTTCCTCTGACCATTCTAACATTCCTCATTTTAAAAGAGCCCAAGCACATGCAAACATTGTAAAGGGTGGCGCAACAAATTTGTGCATTAGGATCTTAAGTTGCTATAGTTAAACAATCTAAAATTCTGTATTACCTATATGGGCGAGATTTACCTGAATGAGAATCTTGAGACTGTTGCAGGACATGGATGTGCAATTAAAACGTCATTAAGAGGAAAAATTGAAAGCTGTTTAGAGTTGACATTTATGGACATCCTTGCAACTTCAGAAGGTACAGCCCGATTCTCAAGGATGTCATCCAACATCTGCAAGATGATCACAATCAAGAACTAAGCTAGAAGTCTCATGTATCCAGGGGGTGGTAACGATCAATTCCATTAAAAAAGGAATGTTGCCGTAGCTGGTCAAGTTTTACAGATTAAGGTTAGTTATTGCTGTGTACAACAAAAGCAGTAGAAGGTCCAATTGACAACTTTCAGACGAGATATTATCAGAAGTAGATTACTCTGGCAGATAGTTTGCTACAGAGAGACAGAGAGAAAGAGGGGGGGCGGGGGGTGTTTCAAATACAAGAACCAAATTTGCAGTAAAAATTCTAACTTATACTAAACTCTAGGTTTTAACTTCTCTGTGAACTGAATTATCTAGGCTTTACCAATCTCTGAAATTAGGCTTCACTAGAAAATAGGAGTAAAAAGGATTATTAACAAGCCAAATTCCCAGTAGAAGATGCTCTCTAAAGTATGCACCCGCAATTACCAGTTTCTATTCGTAGTTTATAGTTAATTGTTTCTTTATTATTATAGTTTAACTGATCAAGTTTGGATTAGGTGAGTGTGAATCTCACCTGTTCAAAATTTTTAATGGTTGCTGCACATAGATGGCCCGTGCTCCTCGTAGCATCAAAGTCTTCACTGTGTTCTTCCACCTATATTGCAAATGACATGAATTTGGTTTTACACAATCACATGTACCTTAAATTTATCAACTGATGTGGTAGAAATTTACAGAGTGAAACACAAGCATCCCAGCTTCATATTTATTATTGACATAACCTAACCTCTTCAGCTTTAGTGGGGTCGGAATTTATGCCAAGAATTGGGATTGAATTATCCATGAAATGGCTTGCCTGCAACAATGTACCATCACCTCCTATAGTGACAACCAGATCTACATCACGGATTGGCTGAGATAGATTGCTCCTATAAACAGTGTCCCAATCAACAAACTTTTTCTTCAAAATATTCTGACAGAAGTTTATCGCATTACTGTGAACTGTGCGCCTATTGTCTAGATAATTTATGACCTGTGTCATCTTCAACAGAAAAGATATCAGACATATGTGACTTTAATAGAAACAGAAAACATATAGGCACCCAATAGCAAATTGTGATCCGCTGGGATAAAATCTGTAGTAGCTGGAAACGTATTAGTTGCAAATAATGGACAAAAACAGAAACTTCCATATGTAATTTCACTAAGCAATTGCAGAACTTTTCTGGTCTCCCAAAACTTCAGACCAGTCCCGTGAAATGAAAAGGTCTTAAACAGTCCATGCAAAATATTCGAAAAGCAAAAGGAAACTTCTTCTCTCGGTAATACTTTCCTACTTATACTACCATATCTCATGAGCAAAAGGAAAAAAAAAAAAACAAAACAAAACAAAACAAAAAAACAAACAAAGAACTCTACTAAATTCTGTTGCAGACAAATGAAAAAGATCAAAAGTAACAATTAACAGTAACATATAATCAAACAGTTAGTCTGCAGGCAGTAAAGACTTTAAAAACTCACAAATAAGACAAATGTAAATGAGGAAATTAATGGGTTTATTGGATTCTTTTTCTAGGCTTCTTGTCTCTAGTGTAAGCTGAGATCAAAAGGGTTACGTACTTTGGGGCTGGTAAAGCGAGAGAGCTTGTCTGATTGGTGAGAAGGGTACACATCTAACGGCTTCAAAAGCAGCAATAACCGCCTTCTCGCCATATTCAATCTTGCTACTGTAATATATTAACGAATCTGATAGGGATATCGTGATTTTGCTGTTTCACCAAACAGGTGAATATGTATGTTTACTGGGATTTTTCAAGTGGGATTGCTTGATTTGGCGGCAAACTCGGGCCAGAAATGGAGGACTTTGATGTCGGACCAGTCAATTTACGCTTTTGATATTTAGATACTTCGCTTGAAGCGTTTTTAGCTTTAAATGGAGAGCGTGATAGGTCATACTTACCGCCGAAAAAAAGCGTTTCTATTCTCGGGATAATTTTTGGTTGACAAAAGTGGTAAGTTGATAGTAGTTTTCTGCATTTAATAAGTTTCTCGCTTCTGTACCAAGTTTCACCGTCTAAATGGAGGGGACAGGATCTCTTATCGTTTGAAAAGAAAAAAAATAAAAATAAAAAATGGAGGGGACAGGAAACGGTTGCTTCTGAAGGTTTTGTAAATATAGTAGTGTAATTCACTTTCAATAATATATAATTATAGAACAAAATTTTGTGCGTCTCATACATGATATGAAAAACGATATAAAAATTGCAATCTGAACCTTACATTTTTCTTTTGTCAAATCTTGGCCATGAATCTTCAGGAACTGTTATCGTTCTTGCTCCTCCTCCCAACTAAAACATAAATAAAGGAATTTTTTTTTTTTTGCTAAAATAACCAAGTGACGAATAATTTCTGATTGGAGGAGCTCAATGGAGCTAGTGAAATTCAAGAAAGAAGGAAATATGTGGTGTTTTACTCTGTATTTGAACCAAAAAATCGATAGTCAAATTTTCAATTTGAACAAGTTTAAGAACACAAAAAACTCACTACTGTATTTCAAACCTTTCACTTGCAATAGTTATTACAGATTTTTACTGACAATATTTTTAAAGGGGTAGCGAGGTCAAAAGTCAAATTAATAGTGAAGGTAAAAATGAAATATTCCCTACCTAAAACCTACCAAACTATTATATTACTAAAAGAGAGAAAGAAAGGAAAATCCCAATGACAAATTAGATTGTTACTGCTCTCTATTTTCATAGACAAAACATGGTACCACTATTAACGGAGAGTAATTATGAGTCTACGGCTGCAAACGAATTGAATCGCTCGCGAACGGATCGAGTCAAAATCGAGCTTGAACTCGAGCTCAAAATATTAAGCTCGGCTCGCGAGCTCGAATATATATATAATATATATTTATTTTTTTTATTTTAAGTATATATATATTTTTTATTTTAAGTATATATATATTTTTTATTTTCTTATTTTAATAGTAAAATTGCATATATATTCTTAATATTTTATTATTTATTAAAAAATATTATTTTATTTATTTTTATTTTTTTTCGAGCTCGAGCTCGAGCTTTAAATTTGCTGGCTCGTCGAGTTCGAACTCGAGTTCGAGTTTGATAAAATTTAGTCGAGCCTCAGCTCGATTAATCCAAAACTCGATTCGACTCGACTCGTTTACAGCCCTAGTGATAACTAGAGAACGGTAATCCAGAGCCCAAGGAGGTTCGGCCCCTGCCCAAAACCCGCATTATACAACCCAACCCAACTAACCTTAACCAAGCCGGACCCAGAACCCACGGTTAGCTCTAGACTACCTTACAACTCCTGCCTTGACCCATCCGTTTTACCAACCTACCCACTGGGTATACCCAAAATTCCCCCAGATTTCATTTCCGGATCAGAATATCCATTTTCCTCACGACTCTGTAATCCGTATCCTATTCTACCGCTTTTCGGACCCTCCGATCGGATCCTTCCCTGTTAGCATCACCGATTTCTCTCATCCAGCGCCAGAAACCTCAGCTTCAGATCCGGATTCTTTTTCTCGATCCATGTAAGATCCAACCCGAATTCGTTTGACTTTCCGGTTTTTGTTTTTAATCTTTTTTTGGATTATAATTTTTGTAATTAAATTAGCAAATTGACGTTATTTGTGCGCTGAATTTACCAACTGCTGAGAAATTTTTTTTTTCCCTTTCGCGTGAATTGTTTTACATTTTTCTGATTTTTGCTTATTGTGACTGAAATTTCTGAATTCATTTTCCTTTCGGAGTCACTGCGTCTGTGTGTGTCTGTGAACCTTTATATTTCAGATGTTTGGATTAGAACTTAGTAACTCTATTCTGGAATTTCGAGGTTTTTAAGGATGATTAATCTATTTTTTCTTGTAGATTTTAGAAAATCGTTGCTTAAGGATCTGAATGTAGTAGGTTAGATGAAAAATCTGGTTAAATTTATGTTATCCACTGTAGAAAGTTACACTGTCAAGGATACTTTTTTCGTAGTGTTGTTGATTGGTGGCGAAATTTTTTTCATGGAAGTAGTGGTTAATGGGATGTAAACGAGCTTAATCAAATAGAATACTACATTGTTTAGCATGAATTGAATTTATGAACGAGCTTGACACTGAGGCAAGCTCAAGCAGCTTTGTTACGTTTATTAGGCTAAGCTTGAACTGTTGATCAGCAATAAATGTTTTTCTGGGCTTGGTTTGAATTTTTTGACGAACTAATTCTCCAACAAGCTCTTGCCTAGTCCAGCTTAGTTCGAGCATTAAGTATTTTGTTTTGCTTTCAGTCCCAGTCAAGAATTAATCTCCATGTCTTAATGTGGTGAATGCAGATATAAATGCTTAATAAGTAAGTCCTTGCTATGGAAATTCCTGTTGAGACTCCTGCTAAGAAGACGAAGAGGTTGACGTCTGTAGTGTGGAATCATTTTGAAAGAGTTAGGAAGGGAGAAATATGTTATGCTGTTTGTGTACATTGTAAGAAGAAGCTTAGTGGATCGAGTAACAGCGGAACAACTCATTTGCGGAATCATTTGCTAAGGTGTTTGAAGAGATCCAACTATGATGTTTCTCAGATTCTAGCTGCTAAGAGAAAGAGAAAGGATACTGCTGTTAGCCTTACAAATTTCACATATGATGAAGTGCCAAGAAAAGATGAAATTATCACCCCCATTGCTTACAGAATTGATCCAGAACCGCGAAAAGAAGAACCTAGTCAGGCTGTCAGCCTGGCAAGTGCTAAATTTGATCAAGAGCGTAGTAGACTGGATCTTGCCCGTATGATAATGTTACATGGTTACCCACTAGCTATGGTGGAGCATGTTGGATTTAAAATATTTGCGAAGAATTTGCAACCCCTGTTTGATGTTGCGAGTAATAGTGCCACTGAACTTGATTGTATGACAATATACGGGAAGGAGAAACAGAAGGTTTATGAACTGGTACATAATCTGCATTCCAGGATCAGTCTTGCCATTGATATGTGGTTTTCATCAGAAAATGCAAGATATATGTCTTTGACAGCTTACTATGTTGATGGGGACTGGAAGCTACAGAAGAAGATACTGAACTTCATTACTTTGGATCCTTCTCATACAGATGACATCCTTTCTGAAGTTGTTATCAAATGTCTGACAGAATGGGCTGTTGAAAGGAAATTATTTTCCATGACATTTGATGATTGTTTTGCGTATGATGATATGGTCTTCAGGATTAAGGATTGGCTGTCTCAAAACAAACCTCTTCTGAAAAATGGTGAATTGTTTGATGTACGCTGTGCAGCACAGGTTCTGAAATCTATCGTTCAAGATGTCATGGAAGCACTTCGAGATGTGACGGATAAAATCCGAGAAAGCATTAGGCATGTTAGAAGTTCACAAACAACACTAGGAAAATTCAATGAGTTCTCTCAGCAGATTGGGATTAGCACAGACAGGCATCTAGTTGTTGATTGCCCAATGCAGTGGAACTCAACTTATTTGATGCTTGAAGCAGCAGTAGAATACAAGGGAGCATTCTCTCTCCTACAAGAGAACGACCCTTCCTATATGACAGCTCTATCTGAAACAGAGTGGGAGTGGGCAAGTGCTGTTACTGGTTATATGAAACTTTTCCTTGAAGTTACCAATGTTTTTGTTGGGTGCAAATATCCTACTGCAAACATGTACTTTCCAGAGCTATGTGATATTCACATTCAATTGATAGAATGGTGCAAGAGTCCTGATGATTTTCTAAGTTCTATTGCAGTGAAGATGAAATCCAAGTTTGACAAGTACTGGAAGAAGTGCAGTTTGGCGGTGGCAATAGCTGCAATCCTAGATCCCAGATTCAAGATGAAGTTGGTGGAGTACTATTATCCTCAGATTTATGGTAGTGATGCTGTGGGTCACATCAAGGAGGTTTCCAATGGTATCCGGGGACTTTTCAGTGAGTATGCCGTAAGCTCGTCTTCGGTGGATCAAGATTCTGCTCTGCCTGATGGTAGCTTGCCTAGTACTATTAATGGAACTAGAGATCGACTGAGAGGATTTGACAAGTTCCTTCATGAAACTTCAATAAGTCAGAGCATGATATCCGACCTTGACAAGTATTTAGAGGAACCAGTCTTTCCACGTAACAATGATTTCAACATATTGAATTGGTGGAAGGTTCACACCCCAAGGTATCCCATCTTGTCCATGATGGCTCGTGATGTTCTGGGGCTACCTGTTGCCACGCTTGGACGAGATCTGGTATTTAGCAACAGAGGTAGAGTGCTTGATCATCATCGTAGTTCGCTCAATCCAGACACTCGAGAAGCTTTAGTATGTGGCCAAGATTGGTTGCGCGTGGAATCAGAAGGTATGTTAAGTAGCTTCAAGTGAGTTTCTTTTTAAATATATTTTGTGATAAAGGACTCTATTTTTTTTTTTTCTTTTTGCATCAGAAAACCAAGTTTCCTTGAGCCATCCTGCTGTATCACTTTTCATTGAAGCAAAGTAAGATGATGATGATGGTATGGCACCTTAATTTACCTCTCACTCTCTTTGCAGAATGTACCCTGCATTTCCCCTTAATTTTCTTCATTCTGATGCTTGAATATTTGTCTTTGTGCAACTGCAAGGTTGTCAAATGATGACCAAGCAAGCTAACAGGTGTCAAATTATTTTGATGCTTATGCTGGCATAGAGACCGAGCATTAGTTTCCAGTTGTACGAGCATTCTTACTGGCACGGGTTTATATGTTGAAGGAAATTATCAAAACTGTGTCACATCATTCATATCGACAAGAAGTGGGAGCTGGCAGATGCTATACTAAAGACAGCCAGTTAAATTTACTGCTAGTATGTTAAGCTGAACCAGAAAAATTTTCTTCTTTTTAGGGGATTTCTTTTATGTGTCAATCCGTGCTGGGGAATGTTACAAATAATGCAGGAGAGAAATTAAAATATAAAACAGCTATTTTTTATGACAAGTTGGTTTAAGGGCTAACATTTTTAGTACTTGCTGCATAATACCAAATGTCATTACATAATTTTGTTTATACATGCTTATTTTGAAAATATAGATGATTCAATTTGAAAATGTTGTAAAGAACTAAGTACCCAAAGTTGTAGTATTATTCAAGCCGGAATGGAAGGGCAAAATGAAAATCATTCTTCTTCATCGAGCAGTCTTTTTTTTTTTTCCTTTTGCCACATGACGTTGTAATCATCCAATGTAATTAAGGAACTAAATATAATTAATTGGCCAAAATGTTCCTACTAGGGCAATTTCTATATACTAGTGTGTGTGTGTGTGTGAATGGGCGTGCTCAAGCGCATCTGCATGGCGCGGGTGCATGCATAGAAACAAAAATGAAGATCCGTATATCTCATCTTCTTTCTTACTATTTAATCTAGTTTGTATTCACCCAAAACTTCGCATCTCCTAAAGATCCGTTTGTTTATCGCTTATATGCAAACTATAGAGAAATTTAGAGTATAATTTGACTGAACATCCTCTCGACTCTGGGTATAGAATAACATTTATGCGTTGTCCAAATTCACTTACAAGTATTGATAAAATTAAATGTACAAGTGTGTGATGCAATTAGAATGTACTATTATTAGTTTTATCATATTTAACGACTGTGTCTTTTCAAAATGTACTATTATTTGTCCAATGAAAAATCTTCTTTAACCATAGACACTAAATACCCGCACGATACACGAGCACTCCCCCGTCCCGTCCCCTCTAGTAATTTGATATAGTTGGGACTTGATCCAATGCATTTGTTTTGAAATTTGAACGATGTGGTTATCAATTTGGCAAAAAAAAAATTTTTTTTGAGTAATTGAATAACTAATTTTTTCAAATAATATTTTGCTTGTATCATAAACACATTTCTAAACTCACTTTTTTATATTTTTAACTATTTTTTATTTCACATACATCGCAGCACAAAAAGTGCTACAATAATTATTTCAAATAATACACTATTCAAACACAGTGAAAACATGTGTTTTTCGTTTAACAGTAATCTGTGTTCTTCTCTTCAATCTTGCGATTCTAGAATCAAGTGCTTGGTGGCAAGCACGTAGATCATTGTGGTGATGGAAGCTGGTTTATTCTGAGACTATTGGCTTTTGGGGAAAGCAAAGAGAATTTTTTTATAAAAAAAAAAAAAAAAAAAACCTCTTCTGGAATGTATTTTGTTAACACTATGGATCATTCTAATTTATTTATAATGCCTTAAATTAATGGTTAGATCATTCTAATTTGCTTTTTTATGTTCCATAGAAGTTCTATCGTGCTGCTGCAATTTTGTAAATATTACTATAAAATTAACTCTCTAAGATTTAAATATCAAAATGTCATGGACCCCCCGGAAGCCTAAAAGTGAAGCTGAGGCATTGATCACCATGACGACCCCAGTTGCCTTGCAAAGCCCACAGCTTCTGCAACTTGGCCGGAGATATGGTTTTCTGAGGACAGATTTCGTGAAAATTTAAATTATGCATTTCTTTGTTAATGATCAAAATATTTATAATTTCTTTGTTCTTTACTTTTTTCGCAAAGAAGGTGTATTCTCAGAAACTTCTTTTTTGTCGAAAAGAGGCATTTGCTTTGGGAATATAGGGTACATATGGCACTAGGATTTCCCGTACACGTTTGGAAAACAGCAGGAAGAATGCTGATCCAGTCATATATTCTTTCTCCATACATATGTATATATATATATGCTTGTTAAAGGCAGGCAAAAGGTCCCATCGAAATATTGACATTTTTCTTCGTGGAAAGTTTTTTGGCTTCCGTTCTTGTATATAAATACGGAAAAAGGAAAGATATACTAGTATGTATGACTCTGTATTGTTGGTTTGGCTTATCTCTAATTGTGCTTCTAATTATGGAAATTTTGAGGGACTTTTTTGATCACTGGTCTCTTGTTTTTAATCATTATCTAATGTTAGCTGAAATTGGAATGATCAGAATCACTTTCAAAAGCCATAATTCTATGACCACATCAAATGATGTCTCATAACACTATTACAGCAGACGCAAACGATTTTTTTTTTTTTATTTTTTTTCCCCTTTCGTCCTCTCAATACTTATGAACTTACGATCTAAGGCTTGAGAGAGGGTTGGAATGGACGGTAAGGTGAGACCACAAAAGAAATTGTGAGTAAGAGATTTTAAATTCAAAACCCTTCACGTATCAAAAAAAATAAGGCTTTACTTGTGGTCTCATCTCGACAGAGTGGTCACATATAAAAAAATAAGGAAAAAAAAAAAAAAGAAGAAAAGATCGACAGAGTGGTCTCATCTCGAAGATAACAATTAATAAGGATCCTTCAGCCCCGTAACAAAATTTCCACTGTAATTTGCAGGAATTTGCGGAGAAACATTTTTCCAAAAACGTATTTCTTGGATTAGCATATAATAGTAAAGCAGCCTCTTTGTGGAGTTTTCAATTTTGCAAGACAAGGAGGGAACCAATTTGTCGAGAATATTACTGCATGCATGGAAATGGAATAGATATCGAAATTCTCTTTCCAACAAAAGATAATGATTGTGTCAATTTCAGGGGGATCATCACTCATAATAAGCGTATATGAAGCGACACCTGCCTTCCTTTTTTTGACCATTTGCCTTAGTTCCATGGTTTGTCCAATATTCTCGATGAAAGAAAATAAAACCAAAAAAAAAAAAAAAAATGAAGCACAAAAAATTGTAAAATGGGACTAAATTCGCACCTTTCCATCGATCTTAAATTAATCTGCACTTAGATGTATCAATGACTTGTACTATATATTAGCATCGAAATTTACACAGGATGTAGATTTAAAATTCATGAAAAACCAAAGAATGAAGAACTTCTAGTTAAGCATATATGCAATTTAAACTTGAAAGCTATAAGGTGATCTCATAGATGGTTTAATTATTGAAAATTCTGATCTGATATAAAGTTAATTAGTTGCCACAAGAAGGAAAAAATTTCTGAAACTCTGCCCAATTAATAAAATGTAACTTGGGATATTTCACGACCAAAATCATGCGAGTTTCTTGAAACGACTACAAAGTGGTGAGCTGAGATTGCTTAATCGCCTAAACAAGCATCATGCATGCATTGTCCCAAATCAAGCAAATGTGACAGGAATCTCAAAGTTTTGCAAGTTGGTCATGACAAAAGTGAAAAGGCAATAATGCTTTTTGTAAAGCCACACATCCAACTTTTCTCATTCTGCATTGCATGGTGGAGTACTACCGCAACACAGTAAAGTGACCAACACATAGAAAAGCACTGTTGGCCGTAACTTGTTTTGCTCACAATAATATATACACATATACAGATATATATATATATATATATTATATGTATGTATATGTATATATGTGTGTGTGTTGGTTGCAGAGGGAAAAAAATTTATCTTAACAATTGATATAATGGATAGCCATAAAGGTTCTGCCACCAAAATAACCAAAAAGCAAAAGCCCATGAAATTGTGCGTGAGCTCTATGAGACCAAATATATATATAGTAAAAGGAAGAGGGGAGTAGGGCTGCAAACGAATCGAACCGCTCGCGAGCGGTTCAAGTCAAGCTTGAGTCGAGCTCGAACTCGAGTTAAGAATATTAAGCTCGTCGCGAGCTTGAGTATATATATATATATATTTTTTTTTTTATTTTTTTATTTAATAATAAAATTACGTATATTATATATCTGAGTTGAGGCCGTAAGAATAGAGATCGATGTTAGGTTCCTTATTCTTCACTTCTTAAATTTCATCTCTTTCCTGTTACAAAAGAGAAAAGAAAGGAAAAAAGATATCCTGTTAGATCAGATGGTGAAAATAAGCTCCCATCCAAACAAGGCCAATGGCCCCCGCAACTGAAATTAAAGCAAGAGAACGAGCAAGAAACAATACTTTAAAAAAAAAAAAAAACAAATTAAGGATCAACTAAAGTAGGATTTGATGCATTCCTAGGCCAGAATGAAGAATCAACCTACGTTCAAACATAGGTCCTTTTTACCAATGAAATTGTGGGCCTAATTTTTTTGACAATTAATAATATTTCAAAGTGAACTAATAAGGGAGAACAAATTCAATTCCCTCCATACGGTTGATCATCGATCGGTGGCCACCTTTTGGTCTTAATCCTCAAAAAAATTCTTAAAGCAAAACCAATGTCACCATGCCTACTTGTTGGACATGTCTTGAGCAGCCTAAAAGTTCCCGTCCTCTCATGTCTGCTAAGCAAATTCACTCTTTAATCCTTCTCATCTCTTTCTTTCCTGCAAATTCGTACCTATTGTATTAATTTTCTGATCCCTATATTTTAAATATTTTCACCTCCTCCTCATTTTAATTACGAATGATTTTAAATATATGTGTGTGTTTGATTTAAAAAAAAAAACATGAATATATATATATATGTGTGTGTATATATATATATCAGAAATGTACGTACTGTAAAGTGTGCTTGCGCAACAGCAGCAAAAATATACAATAAAGGAGGAGCCTTTTTTATTTATAACCTTACTTCTCCAGACCTCTTCGATCGTCTTCTATACTTTCAATAAAAAAGCGACTATCCTCTCTTTCTCTCTGGTTAATTGCAGATATCTTAGTAAAAGCTACTGCTGAAGTTCGTCCTTTCCACCATATCTCTTCGCTCTTCTCTTCTTCGATTTAGAGGTAAGATCTCTCTCTCTATCTACAGAAATATGCTGTATCTGCAATCTGCATGTACGCATCTATTTAGACATCTTGTCTTTGTTTCCTTTTGTAAAATTCTGTTAAACCATTTTACAAGTTAAAATTTTTCTGCAAGTAATCGAGTCTATTTCACTTTTACGTAAATCGTAAGCTTTAGTCATTCAACAGAAGCTAGCTGGTCAAGTGTACCTGAGCTTTTCCTGTTCACGCTCGGACACACACACACACAGAGATCAGCCAGAAAGCTGCACACAGTTGGAGGTGTGGGTGTGAGAGTTTGACAGGGTGAGCTTGTGGTGAAGGTTTTATTTACTATCATTTATGAAGCATTTCCTCGTGGCCGGCTTAGAAAGTTTGGGTAGGTACAAGGTTGGCACTGAAGGGTGAAGGGCAACTTTAGATTTATGAAACTCATGTTCTTTTTTTTTTTTTTTAAGATCATCTAATGTTTCGGAAAGAATAAGGCCGGCTAGCTTATCTAGCGCCCTCCCTCCCTTTGCTGTTGGTAGAATTACGTGTGGTTTTTGAAGACTAAATTACGACTGTGAAGTAACTTGGATTCTTGTTCATCAACTTGACTTGACTGTCAAAGAATAGGGTTCGTTATTAGGTTTACCTTTCGGTGGTGGTGGTGGTACGTTATTGTTTTGGTCCAACCCTACATTTCTTTCCATAATAGGTTCTATATATGAGCCAAAATGCTATATGATAGTCAAATATATAGTAAAAAAAAAAAAAAAAGCTCTAGAATTCTTAATTTCATGTTTTGATTGGAGAACAGAAAACGATCATTAATTTGCAGTCTTCTAATCCCATATCTAATTCAAGTATTCAACTTCTGCTTCTCATTTTTTTTTCCTTTATATATGCTTCTACGGATTTGTTTTTTTTTTTTGTTGTTAATTACACTATGATTGTATCAACCATGAATTAATAACTAGTCGAAAAGAAATTAAAAGAGATTCAATCTCCAACATTTTTGGGCTCTATTCATCGTATGACACAAAAACTCTTCTTTTTTTTTCTGCATTCAGTTGGCTGGAGCTATATATGTCGTCCAACTGAAAAGAAAGCTAAACAAATGTTTTCTTAATCAATAGATAGATTCAAAAATTTTGATTAAGACATTAATTTTTCTGTTGCTTCTCGACAAATAGTAGTTTTGATTAAGACCTTCGGATCCCAAAATTAGAATAAGCATATATGATCATTGAGTTGCAACTTGAGATTCTTTTTTGTCCAAGTGTTATGTTGCTTTTTACAGTATTTATTCTCTCAAATATAAATTTGATTTGTCCTTTTAATTACTTGGATCTCTAAAATTAAGCGTAAAAACCATCCATGTCCATCATTGTTAATCTTTTTGGGGTACGTAGTTTAGATTAACGCAACATAATACAGGCAAAAACCATTCTAGTCTAGTCTCGTCTTCGATAGATTTCTCGGTCCATCCCTGGCGCGCTCCCATGGTTCTAGTGGCCCCTATAAGTAACTAACTTATGGTTTCGAGAGTAAATCAAAGTCATTTAGTTTTCTTTCTTTTGGCTCAAATTAAAAGACCCTTGATCAACTACTTACTCCTAGTTATTTATAAGCAGCGAATTATATATGGTCTCCAAAGTATATATTATATTATCGTAGGCAGTCCCTTATAAGCGAATGTGGTGTCGAGGACCGAATTCGCTAGCGTCTCTCGTGGGCAATTTGGTTGGTCTCATCAAACCTCCTTAGAAGTTGATATACAATGCACGTAAGGATCCGAATCCTGTGATTATCGTGTTCGGGGGATGGGACCTCTCCTCCCGAAATGGAGTGGAATTAGTCGGACCTGTAAGAATTGACCTGGACACTCGCTCCGTCAGGAAAAAAAAAAAAAAAAATGACCGAATTCGCTAGTAGTTCCTTATAAGCAAATTATTATGGTCTCGAGAATAGAGTACGTGTGACGGAAATCGAAATCACTGAGTTTTTTTTTTTGGGGCTCAAAAGGCCCTTGAACGACAACTACCACTGTTTTTACTCAATTGAAAGGCGAGGGCAGGGACGCGGGTGGAGACAAGCCAGCGGGCTCGCGCTGGGATTCTGTCTGGTTCGCAGGTTCAAAGGAGAGTGGCACTCCACTTGAAAACTAAAAAGAAAATTTGTGAAAAGGAGGGTATCCATCAACAAATTTTGGTGGCGTCTGCATGGCTGGAAGGCTTTATGCACCGTGTAAAACGTACACGAGGATTCTCTTTTTCTCTCTCTTTGATAATTCTTTGCCACCCGGAGCCAGAATCTTTTTTGTTTTCCTCTTCTTCTACCCATCTCTCCCCCTCTCTCTCTCTCTCCCTCCCTCCCTCACTCTATTACTTGGTACGGTACTTCACTCTTGAAATCACCGCTTTATCATTTGCCTTCTCACTCTTCCACCGCCTCAAATTTCTGGGTTCTCGATTTTAACTCAAGACCCTTGTCATTTTCGTTCAATTAAGGTAACACCCATTTGGGCTGGCATTGATTTTCTTGTTTCTTGTTCTAAATTTGAGTGTTGATTTTTCTGTTCTTTTTTTTTTCCTTCCTCCACTGTTTCTTGATTTTTTCTCTTTCTTTTTCAACTTACTGGCCAGAATTATATTGCATAGCTCTCATAAGTTAGTGTGATTCTTTTGCGTGCATTATGTTTGTATGTTTTTCCTTTTTTTTTTCTTTTTTCTTTTACCCTCCCCATGCCTCCCTACACTCTTCCTATCTCTCTAGCATACAATTCGAATCTTGAATGTGAACCTGACTGCAGCATTATGTTTGTACGTTACGGTAACAGGATGAGTTGGAAAATTTTCGGCAAAGTCACTTGCTTTCCTTCAACATTTGTTTCCTATATTGGCCATTCTGATCATGGGGCATGCTTACATTTTCGTATTTATCAAAGGGGTAATTTTGTTACCTGTCATCTCTGGTTTTTTCTTGCACTGAAGTTGGGACTTGGTTCTGTGACCCTATGAATTTTACAGCTGGTGTTATTCTGGAATCTTGGGATATATAATTAGAGGGGGACTTAATGGTAGACCCCATTTTTGCCCTCACTCAATTCTGTGGATCCCATTGTCTTTGTTGTCTCTTTGTTTATGCTTGTCCTTTTTGCTAATATTTATTTACCATGAATGTTGATGGCCCTCTTTCTTTTTCCCTTGTCTTTGTCATCACTGTGAAAAGAAAAGGATAGAAAGTTGTTGTACTGCTGTAGAATTTTGTTTTACATTATTCTGTTTTAGGAAAACTGGCCATTATATTTGTCCTTAGTGTCACATTTGCTGGAACTTTGTTTTGATCTGCGCATGTGTTAGTAATTTGTTTAGTCGATATGCAGGACATTTGGTGGTTCCTGGGAAACAGGAACTCTATTAAATTTAGTATTCGGAGGTCCAATTCTAGATTGCCCGTATGCCTGGAAACAAGTACAACAGCAATTCAGCCACCCCCACATCTCGAATTGAGAGGCTTTTGAGAGTAAGAGAGTTACGGAAAAGCAGCAGAGCTTCTCAGTCAAGTGATTCTATTGATGGCAACATTAGGACTGAACTCTCTGAACACGATTTGCGCCTCAGAGATGGGGATGTCTCGGGAGTTTCATATGTGGAGCAATATTTGGAAGGTGCCTTGGCTGCACTAGCACTTAATGATGGATGGGAAAGGATTGATGGGAAGCCCATCAGGCAAAGGCTTTTGGTGGTGGCTAATAGGCTTCCAGTGTCTGCGGTAAGGAGAGGTGAGGAAACATGGTCATTGGAGATAAGTGCTGGGGGTCTAGTCAGTGCTCTACTTGGTAAGCATTCTTTTTCTCTTCTTTAGACTTGACTTTATCAGCAATAGGTTCTATTCATTTTGTTTTGCTACCTGTATTGACTATTGAGGATGGCAAACAGAATGTCTAATTCCTGGAAACTTTGAATCGTTGAAGGTGTGAAAGAATTTGAAGCAAGGTGGATTGGCTGGGCTGGTGTAAATGTACCAGATGAGGCTGGTCAAAAGGCACTTACTAAAGCATTGGCTGAGAAGGTGCAATCTATAGGCTTTCTTTTGCACGAGGCTTTTAGGCCTTATTGATCTTCATTTTTTGCAGTATCCAGCAAAATTATGTTTATGGATGTTGCAGTATAACTGGAATTTCATGTCTGAGGAATGCTAAGTTAGATATTTATCTTACTGCCTCATTGATGTTCTGCAGAGGTGTATCCCCGTCTTCTTGGATGAAGAGACAGTTCACCAATATTACAACGGGTATTGCAACAATATATTGTGGCCTCTTTTCCATTATCTTGGACTTCCACAGGAAGACCGTCTGGCAACTACCCGGAGCTTTCAGTCCCAATTTGCTGCATACAAGAAAGCAAATAAGATGTTTGCTGATGTTGTGAATAAGCATTATGAAGAGGGTGACGTTGTTTGGTGTCATGACTACCATCTCATGTTCCTTCCAAAATGTCTCAAAGATCACAATAGGAACATGAAAGTTGGTTGGTTTCTGCATACACCTTTTCCATCTTCTGAAATTCATCGCACATTGCCATCTCGTACAGACCTGTTACGTGCAGTACTACATGCTGATTTGGTTGGGTAAGGATTGGACAAACATACTTATCTATGTTTTCTGTTGCAGTGGTACAACCCTATCTTGTCAGAAGGGTCATGGATCGAGCCTTGAAATCTAGGAATTCAAAGATAATCTAGATTCTTTTCTTTTTTGTTTTGGAAATAAGTAAACCAAAGTACACAAAGCAATGACTAATTTTTATTTCACACAGCATCACTTTGAGAGAATAATTATCATTTATCCACCCAAAAGAAACTGAAAAAGCAATACAAGAGCAGCTCAGTAACATGAATGCAGAGTTTTGTCACTGCTATGTTCATAAAAGATACCCTACAGATTATGCCTTGATACCAGCTAGCTTAATCAACATGGATTCCTTAAGCTGACAAAATTCTTTGTGCACAAAGCAAGGCCTCATATTTTGCTCGAGTCTATATATTCTGATGAGTCATTCCATCATGCATATTTGTAGTCTAGTCTGTTATTTAACTGTTTATCTGGGCTCTGTCTCTGTCTCTGTTCCAAATTAGGCACTGCTGGCATAGTCCAATCTAACTTGACAATGAGTTCAACCTGTTCATGGGTGAATTTCTGCTGGGAAATCCCTTTTCTACTCTCGCTACTGTCTAAAATGTATTTCTTTGTTAATTACCTCATCTTTCATCTTGTAATTGCCACATTCAATGATATCCTGCACTTGACTCAAGCTATTGCATACATCATCTTAAAGTCTCCTTTAATATACTAAGATTGACGCATGGAACTTGCAAGCTGAGTTTAAGCTGAACACGTTTTGCAGCTTCCACACATATGATTATGCAAGGCATTTTGTTAGTGCTTGTACTCGAATACTTGGATTAGAAGGTACCCCCGAAGGAGTGGAGGATCAGGGACGGCTGACCCGTGTGGCTGCAGTATGATAATCTAATTTGTGCTTCTTTTCTTTTTTTTTTTTCATTCATTTTCTCCTGTATAAGTAATTATTTTTTTCTTTTCTCATTCAATTTTTGTGTAAAAGTAGACTGAAGACTGCGTGATTAGTTTAAACTGCTTCACTCTTGTAACCCTTGCATGTGTTCTGTTTTGGTGGAAAATAGTTTCCCATTGGGATAGATTCAGAACGATTCATTAGAGCACTTGAAGTTCCTCAAGTTCAGGAACACATCAAAGAACTAAAAGAAAGATTTGCTGGGAAAAAGGTACTCTCTCTCTCTCTCTCTCTCTCTCTCTCCCATACCCTTTTGCCTTCCCATATTTTCTTGCCTTATTGTCTCTATGGCCTTCTGATCTTAGTGATAGAAGCCACTTCTTTATTTAAGTTTGATGAAGTTCGGCAATTCTGGGTGATGTTTGTATGTTTATCTTCATATATGATCTCCATTTGGAGTCCATATGATTGATAAAGTATTAGATTCCTGTATTATGATTTGTATAAATTGGAAAATCTGTATTTTTGTTTGAATGTTTACATCTCATATCATAAGATTTCCTCTCTTCTTCTTTTGTATATTGATGAGCATGCAATATGTATCACCTGTGGTTGTTCACAATTGTATCCACCCCCTCTGTCTCACTCTGACTTTCTCTCACACTCTCACACACACACTCTCTCTCTCTCACAACACACACACCCACATCCACCCACCCACCCACGCACACACCCTCCCCAGCCATAACCATACGCACACCCATGGATACATGCATGTATCATATTTGCATAGGCTGTGCGCTCACAAGAGTATCTATACAGACATGTAGGATATCAGCACATTCCCCAATCTTTTTATCGATCTATCGAGCTTTTAGTAGCTTTGTGCATCATATTTTTAAGTGATTACCCTAATTTTGTATAATTGAATTTAGGGTGAACTATTAATTATATATGCTGCTTTTACTACATTTTTTTGGCACTATTTACTTTGATTCTTACCAACTCGTGGCATTGAAATCTGAAAACTCAGTTATGTACCATGTTTACTATAGAAATTGAGCAAAACATGTTGTCAAATATGCTTTGATAGTCATTTCTTGTTGTGTTCATGCACGATCTGATTCTAGGATGTTCTAATTTTATAACCCAGAATGTTTCTTTCAGGTTATGTTAGGGGTTGATCGGCTTGATATGATTAAAGGAATTCCTCAAAAGATATTAGCATTTGAAAAATTTCTTGAGGAAAATTCCTATTGGTGCGATAAAGTGGTTTTGCTGCAAATTGCTGTGCCAACAAGGACAGATGTACCTGAATGTATGCTTTTGAAATGATCAGCTCTTTTAAGTTCTTCTGTTCTTGGCAAAGCCATTAGTGCTTCTCCAGATATCAACTCTTCTTTCTTCCCTTGGTTAGCACATTTTGTATTTCCTTATTTATATCTTCTACAAAGTGATATTTCTCTTATCTGGTATTTACAGATCAAAAGCTTACGAGCCAGGTTCATGAAATTGTTGGACGCATCAATGGAAAATTTGGAACTCTAATTGGGGTTCCAATTCATCATCTGGTCAGTCTTTTCATTGATTTTAACGAATCTATTCTTTGCTTTCTTCAATTGACCACTAGAGATGTTTACTACTGAAAATAAACAGTAGTTCTTCCCCTTTGGGCAAATAATACCTTTCACAGCTTGGTGTCCTTAAGTTGATCTCTTACATAGACTACAGTTTTTTTGGTAAAACCAAGGATGGTGACACTGTTTAATGCATCATTTCCAACTGCCATAGGATTTAGGTTATAGTGCACTTTTGAGATTTCTTGCCCAAGGTAACTCACATGCTGTAATGTGGGCCTATACATAATCTCATGCCCAACTTCTAGGTCTTTAGTCCTCTTTCCATCCACTTATGAAGAATGACTGAAGTATATTCCCTATAAAGTTACTCTGGCGGAAAATCAGTTTTTCTTTACCATTCTCTAATATTTAAAAGATGAAGAAATATTTTGCTGCTTTTTTTTTTGTGTATGTGTGATTATAAGCAACCCCATTTTCAGGTATCATTTGGCAAAAATATGAATGTAAAGTATCCATCCCTAAAGCAAATTTTTTTTCCTGCAGGATCGTTCTCTTGATTTCCATGCACTCTGTGCGGTCTATGCCGTTACTGGTACTAATTCTATGTTCTCAAGATCTTCAAATCCTCAGCTTTTGGAAGATAAGATTCTGTGTCCTGTATATGGCTAATGAACCTTACAAAATGTAATTAATATAGTTACTGCTTAGAAGCTAACTGGATTAAGAGCATGATTACCTAAATTGTTTAGTAACGTTTGTAGTGTACTTTTGATTTTGGCTGATTTATTGCCACACTTTGCTTTGAGTGATGCAATTTGTGTGCTAACTTGATTTTGCTGGCTCTAATACATTTTTTCAGTGTTTCATGTTTCTGTTCTTTCTTTAGCACATTGAGTATTTGTAATTGGAACTGGCTACTTGTAGAGAAGAGGTAAATTGAAGAAAATTGATTCTTATTGTACTAAACGTGTATAACTGGTAAAAAGCAAATGGAAAATAAGGGAGAAAAGTTTCATTTGCTTGTTTATAGTTTCTAAGAAATTTTAATTTGCATTTTATTGGGCATGAGGCTTTGGCGTTGACACGTCTTTTCGTCACCTGTCCTCCTCTCAATTCTTTTTAGGGCTGCTATGTAAATTTTCAGTCACCTTGAACATGAAATATGAGAAGCGATTCATTTCTTTTCCAACTTCGTCATTTTCAGTCCAAGAAGTTACCTTAAACATGTTTTTTTTTTTTGGTTTAATGGTTTCTAGATTCTAAGTCATCAGTTTCGTCCACTTTAATCATCTTGAATATTTTTATTTGTGGAACTCGAAATTAGTTGGACACAATGAACTGGTTCATTTTCAGACTTAGTCTTTAAGTCTTAATTAAACTGTGTTTTATGCAGTCTAACCTCAAGCATTTAGGATCTTGCATTAAATTGTAGACTGTGACCAGGATTTGATGGCTTTGCTGCAATGATACTTAGATGACTCACTTTTCCTTCTCATACACTACCAGTTTCAGATGTTATAATTTGCTAGAGGCATCAACGTCCTCTTCATGTACTTAGAGTATTCTAACCTGTTATAACTCTTTCATATCCTTATCTTCTTGATGAACATTAATTTTTACACATACTAGCTGTCTAGGCATTCACTTATTAGAATGAAAGTAATTGGGTATAGAATATTATACTAATTTTTTTCTGGAACATATTGGGATTATTTCCCCATTTCTGTAATCTAGTCTGAGGGCATGATTCTGTAAGAAACATGTTCACAGCTGAAGCAGGCTGAACCACTGAGCGATGGACCATCTGTGCCCTAAATGATTGGACTAGATTAGGGCCTTCATCATCCTTAACATGTACCTATAACAAGATAAAAGTAAAATATGTGTGTGAAATATTGGCAAGTTAGGTGGTTGTGTAAGCAATTACGAGATAAACATGTTTAATTTTGTTTGAAGGCCTAAAGTAAAGTATGAAAGAATGACTTTCATCATTTCTGAAAACAACTGTCAGCTCTCTAAAATTTCAGTCATCTTGATTGCAGAAATTATACTGATATCACCTAGAAGGTTGACTTTGGAAACCACAGTGGAGTTTCCCCAGTATTCATGGCTATTTCACAATTATTTGTTGCATCTTTTAGATCATATTGTGCTTCAACCAAATGGTTAATTCTTTTGCTTCAATAGTGCATATTGGATTATAAGAGATGCAACCCTCATATTACTTTAGAAGTATTTACAGTTTTGTTGTCTCTCTTGATCTACATCTGCCTTTAGGCCTTTTAACACTTCCAAATTCCAATCATCATCTGTGTCTTGCTGATCAGATGTAGCACTTGTCACATCTTTGCGAGATGGAATGAATCTTGTTAGCTATGAGTTTGTTGCTTGTCAAGATTCCAAAAAAGGGGTTCTCATTCTCAGTGAGGCAAGTACTGCCAACTCTTTGATACTGAAAGTTGTTTGTGATGATTTAGCGATTGAAAAATGAAGGTCATTTTCAAGTATATGCCCTGAAGGCAATACTTTATGCATCTTCTTGTTAGTAATTAGTTTCACTGGACTCTAGTTTGCTGGTGCTGCACAATCTTTGGGAGCTGGAGCAATCCTGGTGAATCCTTGGAATATTACTGAAGTTGCTGCTGCAATAGGCCAAGCATTGAATATGCCTGCTGAAGAAAGGGAGAAACGTCACCGACACAACTTCGCACATGTGACAACCCATACTGCTCAAGAATGGGCTGAAACTTTTGTTAGGTTTGTGAACTTAAGAGTGTGATTATAGTCTCATTTCTTTTGAAACTCCATAAACGCTTAACTTGTCTCTGCTGTCTAATATGATAAAGATTAGGAAATGCTGTACATATTGATGGATAGAAGACAACTGCTAGACTTCCTTTTCTAGATTTTGTGCTGATACATTGTGAGAATATACCAATTGGTTTTCTTTTTCATTCATGCCACATATTGTAGCCTTTCTACCTAAATTGCCTACCTGAACTATTTAAGAACTAATTTTGTTGCAATTATTCTTCTTATGAGTCTAAATGCTTGAGCACTCCATGACTAATGACCAGTGCTCAAACTTCCAAATTTTAGTAGTAGTTTTGTGAAGGTTTTAAATACGTCGACCAAACTACAATCATATACCAGGAGTACCACTCATATCATGATGGCTTCTTTGAGACCACATGAAAGAATGCCTAATCTTTCTGTGTAAATGTATATAGGTATCTTGTTGGTGGAGTTGGTTCTTTTGACCATAAGAACCATAAGAAACCAATACTTTTGTTTTTATCAGCGCCTTTTCATCTTGCACTACCTTACCATATACTTTCCCTTCTTTCTCGGCATGTCCGAAAATAATGCCTCCTTTCTAGAAAATTATGCTGATTTAACAGACTTTAGATTTTTATCGACACTATTTTTTTCCCCAATTCCAGCAAGATTTGAAATAACTCATCTTTGAACTTCTGAAGGGTCCCAAAACCGGCGCGGAGAAATGTTACAACACTTCACATCTCTTTGGAGTAGATGGTAGACCTTTCTCTCTTTATCAAGAGATTCTTTGATGCAGAATTCATAGTTTGGGGAATCCCACAGAATGGTGAATATGTGGGTTTCTAGTGTCTCTACTATCATTTTGATTTCTTTTTTCTTCTTTTGGTAGATTTCTTTGCACTAGCATTTGTATCATCATCTATTGAAGTTTTGATGGCCATCATACATCAATTTCAAATATACATTTTTACACTTTCCTTATTTATAAATAGTCCTTGAGAAGCTGGGCCTCCAAATATTTTCTATACTACTAAATCTTTGACTTGTAGTGCTTTTACAAAAGATATTATATGGAATAAAATCATGTCAAGTTCAGTCGTACCTTCTAAGAGTTGCAGAACTCTTGTCCTCTTCTTGGCTTGTATTCTTTTACCAAATCTATCTTGTCTACAACCCATCTATTGTGCTTCATCATTTTTCATTGGCCCTGTGTTTGTTATATTAATTATGTGTCCTTGGCCTTGAACCATGGGATTAAATTTCACTGAACCAATACATTCTGGAATCGGCCTCAGTAGTCACCTCCTATCTTTTAGTGATTGTGCATGTGGTGACTGTCAAAAAATAATTTACTGCATTGTTTTTTCCCTTACTGACTGGCCTCTCTATTGTCATTATTTAACTTTATGCAAGTTATAATGATGGCTGAAAACATAAAACATTGAAGTAGGAATAGCATGAAACAGGATGATGTGCTTCTGTTGTAATAAATAATTATCGTAGCTACTTCGTTAGATGACACTCAGTTCCATTCAATATGATAGGATTTGATTTGACATGAAATAAGAAAGAGGAAATGACGTAAGGAATTTTCGGAAACTGAACTACTAGAGTACTCATTCAAGAGTTTGAAATTTGGTTTGCAGAGATAGACGTCTACTTGAAATTGTCTGCTAGTTAACTTTGACCTTTATGTCAATTCAGCCATTGAAGTTACTGTTTAATGGTTGAAGGGAATGGGTAAGATCAGGATCATGTATAAATAAATTGGTTTAGGAGAATTAAACGTATTGTAAGATCCCAGAATAGAATGCATGTCACCAAACAGGTAGGATAGAAACACAGAAATTTTGATTGCAATTTCTGTGTCACACGAAATCCATATGGAAGAGACTGTGTTGTTCAAAAGCTTCAAAATATTCCAGTAAAGTCCTTTTGTGCATCAAATATTAATTCACTATACTGATCAATCAGGACATCTTTACTTGGACATCAAATATATTAATGTAGTTTGAGAAAATTTGAAACATATCTTCATCCTTTGCGTGATAAATTAAATTTCATTTCTAGTATGGATTTGTATAGCTGTCACTCTCTCAACCCTTGGTATAGATTCTATTGATGGAATTAAAATGGTAGAAAGGAGGTGATACGGTTATAATGCGTGAAAGCGGTCATGCAATAGCGAAACTTAGTACAAGGTGAAGTGATGGTGATGGATAGGTATTTATGTTGAAAAAACACTCCTTTTATTCCCTGCTTTGGCATAAATTGTCTCATGCACTTAAGCTGATGGCGAGCCAGAAGGAGATTAGAAGGACTAGGAATGTGTTTAAACACAACTGAGGTCAGTATTGATCATCAGGTGATTGTCAGAAGGAAAACTACTTTTACCCATATTTATCTAGAATTTATTAGTAAGTTGAAAAAGGGAGATTTTGGCAAATGTTTTCAGCTAAAAATACTCAATACAATTTGCTTTGTCCAAAAGAAGTGTGATGAATTTGTTCTGTGCTATGAATCTAGAATTTTTTGAGCCATTGATGCTCTTAGCAGGCAAATATAACATTGCCTTGAAGTTAGAGTTTATTGGTTTCCATGCAAACAAGTGACCATTAAGGATCGACTTGGTATAGTGATAACCTTTATCAATCTGCGTATAAGTAGGTACAATTGGAGTTGAATCCATTGCTTCTCAGTTATTTTGGCTCGACTTTGTGGTTGTTATGAGTTGATCTCCAAAATCTCATTTTGGCCAAAAAGCCTAATTTAATCCACATGATAGAGGTAGTTCAGTTCTGCACAATTAACTTTTTCAACATTGCTACACATTTGATCTATTTAAACTGTATACGCAGTTGTCAGCCATGTGATATAAACCTCTTCTCTAACAACTTAATATGCTCTAAACTAATATCCTTAAGTTGCAATTTGCAGAAAAATGATTTACGTACAATTTTTATGTGCATTTTTCATTTTTTTTTTATGCCTCTCTTAGGGGATTCTGGCGAGTTCATTTATTCTTTTTACACGTTTATGGCAGCCATAATGAATTCCTACAATGTTTAATTAATTCAATGCATTCAAATGCAGTACGAAAGCAAAATCTGCACAGATTTGTTGCTTTTTCAAGAGCTATCAACTTAGTGTGCTTCTGAAAACATTAAAATTGTTGTGATGGCTCAGATAAATACCCTAGCTATTTATGTTGTCTCAATCTCCATCTTTTGCTTTCTTTGCTTAGAGCTGATAAACTGAAATTGAGTGTCTTTTAACTGGTTTTGCAGTGAATTAAATGACACTGTTATTGAGGCTCAGCAGAGGATAAGAAAAGTTCCACCACCGCTTAATGTCACTGATGCAGTGAAACGCTACTTGCAGTCTAATAACAGATTGCTCATACTGGTATAATGATGTCTTTCTCATTTGAATTTTTTTTTTTGGTTGATTGAGTAGATTTTGCTGCATTGGGCATTTGAGTTCATAAAAATTGAATGATACAATTAGTACATGCTTTTGGTTGTGATGTAGTTAGTAAGCAATTTTGTCAGTTATATTACGGTATAGAAACAAATACAGACTTGATTTGCGTCAATTTGCTTGTTTCTTGTATTTTACTGATAAAAGTTCTTTGTACAGTTATGTTGTGGTACAGTATCACTTGCTTACAAGTGTAATGTCTTTTTTGAATCTTTAAGATATTTTTTTTAGTATATGACATGAAGTGACACATCTGCCAAGGTGTGATATGGAAAATGATGAGAAGAATAAGCTAAAGAAAGTAAACATCAGGATTTATCAGGTCACTGACTCTACTAATTTTGGGAGTTTGTGATATATAGCATATTGGGTGAGCATTAACAAGTAGAAAGAAGCGTCTTTTGAATAAGTTGGTAAAATTACAGGGTGCTTAGCTCATTTTTCTACCCTTACGACAAAGTAGAGAAACTAAAGAACAAAGAGATGAGACAAATATAAAACTTATCTCGTGGTGCAAGAAAGTAAATGATCGAAAATTGGTAAAGCAAAAATTTAATAAGTGAACTTTTTGATGCATTTTATGCTATAATGCTGAGTTTCTCTATTGCATATTTTCTTTCTCTCTTGCTTCTTGATTTAAGTTATAAAGATCTTGCTTGTTTTAGCTGGTGACATATGTGGTGTAGATTTGGCCATATCAAATCCAAGGAAGACATCATGGACTAAATATCAAATATCTATAATGTGGATATTTAGGGCACCACTCATGTATGTGTGTTAGATCGTACCATGATTTCATGGCTGTTGGTTTTAGATCCTATTATGATTTCATGTCTGTTGTTTTTGTTCTGTTGTGAATGAACCAAAACTGTAGGGTTTCAATGCTACACTAACTGAATCAATAGATACTCCTGGAAGAAGAGGTGGAGATCAAATTAAAGAAATGGAATTGAAACTGCATCCGGAGGTGAAAGGACCATTGACAGCTCTTTGTAGTGATCCAAAGACAACGGTTGTTGTCCTCAGTGGAAGTGATAGAAGTGTCTTGGATGAGGTACGGGATCCCTTTTAGGTTCTTTACTTTAGAATGTCTTGTACATCATTGTGAAATGTGTGTCTTTGCAGAACTTTGGTGAGTATAACATGTGGTTAGCAGCAGAGAATGGGATGTTTCTGAGATCTACCAAGGGTGAATGGATGACAACAATGCCAGAGCATTTAAACATGGATTGGGTTGACAGTGTAAAGGTATATACATGTATGGTGGTATTTTTATTGCATCTTTTGGCCTCTGATATTTGGATTCTTTTGTCTACTTTTCAGCATGTCTTCGAGTATTTCACCGAAAGGACACCCCGATCTCATTATGAACTCCGGGAAACTTCACTTGTATGGAATTACAAATATGCAGGTAACTAATCTGTTTCACTGGTGTTCATCCAAGTTTGTGTTGTTGCAAATTCCCATTGCTACAGTTTTTTTGGTTATTGTCTTCTTCTCTTGGTTCCATGTTAGATGTGGAATTTGGAAGATTGCAAGCTAGAGATATGCTGCAGCATCTGTGGACAGGTCCAATCTCAAATGCATCAGTTGATGTTGCTCAGGGAAGCAGGTCAGTTGAGGTACGAGCAGTTGGCGTGACAAAGGTGAGTGGATTATTCTCCTGTTTTCTTTTTTTTTTTTCCCAGCTTATTTTTTCTTGGTTGGCGAGGTTAGTACTCTGCCTGAAATGTCTAAATCTATTTTAGCTTAAAAATTGTCACCAGCTCCATCTTTTACATTATTAGGAAAACGTCACAAATCATACACAAAGATTCATTTTCGCAAGATTATGCCCAGTTTCTGCTTTAAACAAAGGCATCATTCAAGCTTGGCTTCGGAATCAAACAAATCAGATTAGAGGTAGCAAAATGGGTGACTTGGGGGGGGGGGGTTTGGGTTGGATAATATGGGTAATGGGTATAAGTGAGTCAACCCATTTATATCCATTTAATTAGATGGATATAAATGGGTAAGTCAAAAAATGAATTGGGTAACCCAATTACCCATTTATAATCCATTTATTTTAACTTTTGTAACTCATTTAAATTCATTTTTGTAAACTAACTTATCAATTTATACCGCCTTTTGCACCCATCATTAGTTTTAAATATTTACTTATAATGTTCAATAAGCCTAATTATCAATTTTTTTCCTTTCCGTACTTTATGTCGCAAAGTTGCATGCTATTTAATAATTGAATAATAAGAATACAAAAATTTGAACTAAGTACTATAAAAACTAACATAAAAACTTAATCCAAAAATTTTGAACCCCTAACATTTTTTCATGTATAAATTGGTAATGCTGAAAAATGAGCAAGTTAACAAACTAAGAAAAAATAAAATGATAAGATAAAACCAACAAATAATAATAATAATGAAGCAAAAGTAATTAACATCATGACAAAATGAAAAATCTGAAAAAATATATATATAGGTGGAGGAAGACAGGAGACTTGGAGAGAGACAATTCTAAATGGGTTAATTAGATTTGATGGATTACCCAATAATACCCATTTATACCCATATGCAAAAATTTTAAATACCCATATCCATCTATTCATGGACGGGTACGGATAAATTTAATTAAATGGGTTGATTTGCCACCTATAAATCAGACGAACAAGTAGTGTTATAATTGAAACCTTAGATCATCTACATTAGCGCCCAAGGCTGACAAATGTCTTGGGACGATGAATGCATCCCACGTATTATATCGATGAAAATATAGAGAGGACAATTGAACATATATATCATATGATAGATTCCAACTGTTACAAGCCTTGATGATAGGGCAAGAAATTTAAGAAAGCCCTACTCATATGGGAAAGAACTAACTTTTAGTCCGTAGACAAATGAAAAAGAACATGATAATATTCCTACTAGCTATCCGGAATCTGTAACAATGGAAAAAAATGAGCTGACGCTAAGATGAGAAACGGCTACAAACTAACGTACAAAATCATATAATCTCTAATACGGAAAATGCAGAATCAAACCCCAAGAGGTTTGCAATCGTTCTATGCAGAAGTTTTCTTGTTTGGTTCAAAGACATACTTTATCAGCGACTCCTTGATTGGTAGCAACTCAGGGAATTCGGTCTTCAATTTGGTAGCATCCATCTCATTATTGCTTCGAGCGGCAACTATCACCTTTGCTTGTTCTTCAAGGGTAAAGTTGGCCCATTTAAATTCTGGATCAATGTATTTTTTGTACATCTCCAGAATCTCATTATGGCTAACCACCCCAGGATTTGTGAAGTTCCATATGCCCCTGAGATTTCTTTTTGCCATCTCAATTGAGATAGGAAGAAGTTCATCCAAGATAGTCATGCTGTTGGGGATGTTAACCACTTTATTGTAGCGGGATATCTTGGTAATGAAGTTTCGTGGATTGCTGAGGTCTGAAGATATTGGCATCCGGACCCTGAGTGTGCACACATTGTCATATTCTTTCAGCAGCTCTTCAACCTGTATGGAAAAAGAGAAGATCAATCAGCAACATTCTATGTGTACAAGTTCTTCAAGACACGAATATTCTGTCAAGGAAAGAGACGTTACCATGGCCTTGGTCTTTGAATAGAAAGATCCAGCAAAATTAGGTATATCTTCCTCCTTAAACCCGATACCAGATCCCTCTGGATGAGCAGCATCATATTCAAATATACATCCAGTAGCAAAGTTCATCATCAGCAGACCATTGTCTCTGCATACATCAGCTAAGGTGAGAGTCCCCGTAACATTCGTACGAATTGTTTCAGTCTTATGTGACTCGCACCAATCAACATTGGGTCTGCCCGTAACACCAGCAGCATTGAAAACATGTGTCGGCTTGACAGCTTGAATGTCTGCCAAAAGCTGTGACCGATTTTCCAGCCGCCCCATTCCATACTCATAAGAAATCCCTTGTTTCTCACATAATTTCCCGAGCAGACCACCAATCCACCCTGTCCTACCATAAATCAAAAACTTGAGGACTGGTTTATTTGGTGGGTTGCTGCTCTTAGCAGTAGGGACCACCATTTTGCTCTGATGAGAATTCTCTAAGACTTCAGAAGATCCAGATTCATCTAAATGCCTTTCAATTCCACCAGGCATCATCAACATTCTAGGATGAGGAAGCAGCGCTCCAGTGACATCCCCCCACCAATCTGGGTTGCTGATATACCATTCCATAGTCTTTTTTAGTCCTTCTTCCCATATGGTCCTCTCTGACCAACCCAAGTCCTTCAGCTTCTCATCATCCAGGAAGTATCTCTGATCATTGAACGGCCTGTTCTCCACAAATTGGATGTTTGTCTCAGGATCCATGTTAAAAAGTTTGCATATATCTTTAGCAACGTCAATCACTCTTCGCTCCTTCTTAGTTCCAATGTTGTATACATGACCAACTTCTCCCCTGTGAAGAATAACTTCAAATGCCTCGGCAACATCCTCACAGTAGAGATAACTTCGTACATTAGAACCATCACCGTGAATGGGAAGAGGCTTCCCTCTCATAGCCAAAAGGATAAACTTTGGGATTAACTTTTCTGGAAATTGATTAGGACCATAAACATTATTTCCTCGCGTAGTTATTACAGGTAAGCCATATGATCTACCATATGCCATAACAAGCATTTCAGCTCCAGCTTTGGTGGCAGAATACGGGTTTGTAGGAAGGAGTTGTGAGGCTTCATGGTTTCCCACAACGGCATCTTCATCAGTCTCACCATAGACCTCATCAGTGCTCACATGTATAAATCTTCTCACACCGCCAGAAACTTTGCAAGCCTCTAACAGCACATGTGTGCCATAAATGTTGTTCTTGGTGAATTCAAAGCTATTGCCAAAGGAATTATCAACATGGGTCTGTGCAGCAAAGTGCATAATTGTGTCAATTGACTCAGTGATAAGCAAGTAGTTGACAAGATCAGCACTTGCAATATCCCCTTTAACAAACTTGTATTTTGGGGACGATTGAGAGGGAAGCAGGTTCTTCATATTCGAGCAATAGTCAAGCTTGTCAAGGACAACAATCTTGTAATCAGGGTAGCTTCGCACCAGCCGGTTAGCAACATGAGATGCAATAAATCCAGCTGCCCCAGTAATGAGAATATTCTGCGGCTTGTATGGCGCCATTTCAATCACCTCTAAAAATAACAAATCACAAAAACACAGTTCCTCATATCAAGAGACAGTTATAGGAATATACTTCAGCGATAATATCAATTACAACATCCATTTCAAATAAACATCCCTTGGCAATCAAAATATGGAAAATCGTATGCACGACTCCTAACAATCCCCTCCACACCTGCAATAAGCCCTTTCAAGACATTGTGCTAGCAGTTGCCAATACCATAATGCTATTAACGGACACTCACAGCCAACAGTTATAAAAAAATTGCTACAAAACAACAATCATTGCCCCCTAGCTTTGCGAGGGTGCTTAAACAAAAATACCTCATAAACAAGCATAAATCAATCAAAAAAAGCCCGACATCAGTACTCAGACAGCATGATTCAGCACTTTCCTTAAATCTTTCAAGGTAGCAACAACTTGTTGACAAGGAAAGATTACAAGACCAATTTTCTCCCAACATACATTCAAGAATGAGTAAATAGTACTTGACCAAGCTGGAAACGTTGTCGCATATGAAATACAATGCATTTTTCTATTCAATTGCATATACGCATTTCTTAACACCATTAAGTCATCATGTCAAATCAATAACTTCAATAAACTGCGCTAATATATCAACGCATTTAAATATTATAAAAGGAAAGAGATAAAAAAGCCCCCCCCCCCCCAAAAAAAATTCGGAACAAACTTGCACCTGATTCTATCAGATCCATCCAATAATTTCCGAAAACAAAAACCAACCCATTTTTCCTTTCCCTCCCTTAGTTCAAATCTCTGTACCAATATTAATACCTGCAGCTTCCCAAACAAATTTGCAAAACCCACAAACAATATGCAAAAATAAGATCTGGATCAAATGAAGCAATGCCAATCACAGATCATACACAAATGCATGAGAATTAAGCACATTTCTCTAAAGATCTAATCTATTTCCATCATAACCGAACCCCAGATAATAAATTCCATCAGAATTCTAAAATCAATAACCAAAATATTTTTTTAAAAAAAAAAAAGAGCAAGGAGTTGAGTTGGATGGATGATAAACTTACAGGTAAAATTCAATTCAATTGAAGTCTAACCCAGATGAAACAATGCGGAGCAAATATATAGAAAAAAAAAAAAGAGAGAGAAAAATTTTTTGAGCGATGAAGAGACACCAAGGCGAGAAGTGAGGATGGTCAAGCAATGTCTTTGTTTCTCTCCTTTCTTCTTGATTTATAGGACTACATGCAGTACAAATACGATCAAGGGGAGAGAGAGAAATAGAGAAAGAGAGCAGTGAAAATTCTCATTGCGTGTTCGGATGGGACCGGTTGGGGGTGGATCGAGGGGGAAAAAACATGGGTCGTGTGAAATTACGAGAACGGGCTTTATATGGTGTGGCAACTGGCAACTGGCAACTACGTCACGCGGTTTTCGCGGTGGTGGTGGTGCTGGCCGGGGTGTCGGCGGCGAGAAGAACTTATGCATTCCGTGTGACAAGTGCAGATAGTTACTTGCGCCCACCACACTCATCTATCAGGGAGTTGAGCGCCACGCGTCGGCTGATTTTGGGGGGCAAACATGGAAAGTGAAAAATAAAGCCCCCCTGAAATTGGAAAAGTATTTGTCTAGC